GCGTGACACAGTGCGTCGGCGGCCGCCGGCGCGCGGGGAGGCCGGGGAATGCCGAGGCGCGCGGGCGACAGAGGACTGCAGCGACTTAGCGCTGTGAGCCGCCGGGGTTGTTGAAAAGTTCGCGAACCCGCGAAGAAGCGGGCTACCTGTAAGGCCTTGCAAAAGAATCGGGCCGGAAAACGTGTGAAACCTTACAGACAATCGGCTAGAATCAGGTGCTTGCATGCACAACACCATTCTAGACAGGTCGTAAGCACCTGGGCAGATGCGGACGTCGTATCGCAAATCCTGCTTCGGTATGGCTAGTTTGGACCGTTGCTTCAAGTCCCAGGAGCCCGATAAGATGATGTGCAACTACACGTCGGACGAACATACCTCCAGAACGTCTTTTTCTGTACCGATAGAGGAAGAAAACTCAGTACTGGAGCTGACATGGCGCTCGGTCTCGGAAGGGCAGTGTTTCGGAGTAGGGTGTCGTGTCGGGACTGCCAGTGTGCTTCGCCCCTGTGTCCCCCCAGAGTCGCTCTCTCAAGATGAGGTTTCGGGTATCTCCCATAGAAACGCTGTAGTCTTAGGAGATACCCTCAACGCTATATAATGCAAGGCATCTCCGCTCTTCTTCTCTCAAGCCGGTCTTCAATCATCCACTCAGCCCATCCACCCACACAACCCACTATTTTCTCACTCCCCAAACTCAATCATCACGACGATGTTCTCTACTCAACTCTCCACCCTCGTCATCGTCGCAGCTGGTCTGTCGACTTTCGTCTCTGCCGCTCCTGCTTCGTAAGTGTCCTCTTCTCCGATGCTTCTTTTGCTGGATCCTGACCTACCTGACAGTGTGAAGCGCGGCGATGCGTCTCCTGCCCTGGTGGCACGCGAGCCTCAGTTCAACACCACTCTACCCAACCAGCTCCCTGTCGCAGGTGTCCTTCCATTCAACATCACCATCACGCCTGGAGCGCAAAACACGACTGTCGGCCTTCCTGCTGGCTTTCCATTCAAACGTTATCTCGAGGCTCGCCAGTTCAACACCACTCTTCCCAACCAACTCCCCGTTCAAGGTGTCTTACCGTTCGACATCACCCTTACGCCTGGAGCGCAAAATACCACCGTCGGCCTTCCCTCGGGTTTCCCGTTCAAGCGAGGGCTCGAAGCCCGCCAGCTCAACACTACACTACCCAACCAACTTCCCGTCGAAGGCGTACTCCCCTTCGACATCACCCTTACGCCTGGCGCGCAAAATACTACCGTCGGCCTACCTTCGAACTTCCCATTCAAGTTCAAGCGCGATGATGACGACACCGCGAACTCCGAGAACGATATGGACGACGGTGTCTTCAACTTCACTCGCAACGCCCATCTTCCTCTCTGGACCAAAATCCCTATCGGTCTTTTCCCCGATAACGGCAACATCACCGACACCGACAACGCGAACGATACCGATACCGATACCAGCGGTGGATTCCCGTTCGTATTCTGGGGCGACGAGGGCGACGAGCAGGACTTGAACGCCGAGAAGAGGCAATTCAACTTTACGCTACCCAATCGGCTTCCGGTCGAGGGCACGCTTCCGTTTGGATTGAATTTTACGAGTGGAGAGCAGAACAGTACTGTTGGGCTTCCTTCAGACTTCCCTTTCTAGCAGGCTGTACTTGTATGAGGTCATCATCTACAACACCATACCCGCATAGGATGTAGCTGGCGCTGGCGCTTCGTGCATCCGCATTATGATACCTACACTACGATACCCGGCATTCCTTTCTGCTTTGCAATACACCATACTTTCTGCCTCATCATACAGTCGGTGACAAGCGCGAGTGCAAAATAAGCCCAGACGAAGAAGTAGGATCGTTCTTGCTTTTATATGCCGACAGAGCGCATAGCAAGAGCGTGGAAATATATCCGGGGCTCTGCTCGACGCGGTTCGCGTTTGGCTCGGACGACCATCCATCCTGCTACGCTCAGTGTACTTTCACCTACGACAATGATGGCATAGAGCATGCGCCACGACACACTGCCTCTATTGTCACAAAAATGGCGCCTTCAACCCTCGCCTCAATGACTGGGCGAACTTCGAAGTGGTCGCCTTCAGCCACGCGCATAATGAACTTGAGGTGCTGCATGCATAATGAATAGGCCTTCATATTTCGACCTTCAAGAAGACGCTCCACCAGTGCGGTCGCCATGCCGACTTGTTTTGGGGGGGCGCTGTCTCGGCGCGGGACAATGTCTCGGGGAGTCCAAGTACCCTTTCGCCCCTGTCGCCACACCTCCGACTCCTACCACTCGGCCGTGAAGGATTCGCTGCTCATCGCATGGATAAATCATACGCTGATACTTAGAGCCTTGCTAGATGTGGTGCGCAGTCTATGAGTGATGGAGTGGAGAAGGCTTTTCAATGCAATACGTATGTGCAAGCCGTTCTGACGACCGTTATGCGCCTCGCCCCTATGCCCACATCCTCGAGTGAGGTTTCGGGTATCTCTAATCCCCTGCAGTACTAGGAGGCTCTGCAGCGCCTATATAACCCTCGACAGTTCTACTCACATTCCCTCAAGCCGGTCTTCACTCATCCACTCAATTGCCTTTTCACTTCAATTACCACTACTCTCACCTAAAAGCAACCATCTCGACGATGTTCGCCACTCAGCTCTACACCCTCGTCATCCTCGCAGCTGGTCTGTCGGCCTCCGCCGCTCCCGCTTCGTACGTCTTCTCCTCTTCACCTTCAATTTGCTCGATCTTGACCGAAAGACACAGTGTGAAGCGCAGCGGCAGCGACGCCTCTCCCGCCCTGGCGGCGCGTAAACCCCAACTCAACAACACCCTCCCCAACAACCTTCCCTTCGCCGTAAACGTCGTCCTCTCACCCGGCGCACAAAACACAACCGTCGGCTTACCATTCAAGTTCAAGCGCGACGACGCCTCTTCTCCCTACCCCTCCTCCTCTGCCGACAACGACGAGGATGGCGTATTCAACTTCACACGCAACGCCCGTTTCCCGTTCTTGACCAAGCTGCCGTGGCTGGTCCCGAGCAACGAAACCAAAAACGATACCTCGTCGACGTTCGAAACGCGACAGGTGAACGCTACGCTACCCAATCAACTCCCCGTCGATGGTGTCCTGCCGTTCCATATCGCGATTACGCCTGGCGCGCAAAATACGACTGTCGGTGTGCCTGCGGGCTTTCCGTTCAAGGTCAAGCGTCAGGACGGCAACGACGACACCTCTACCAATGACGACGATGACGGCAATCTGGATGATAACGACGGGGTGTTCAACTTTACCAACCACGCCCATCTCCCGCTTTGGACCCAGATCCCTGCCGGGCTGTGGCACGATGACGATAACGATAACTCTACGGAGAGCACGAACGGTACTTCTGGTGGATTCCCGTTTGAGTTTTGGGGCAGTGAGAGTGCCGAGGAGGGGAACGCTGAAAAGAGGGAGGTGAAGCTTGCTCGAGCTTAGTCTGTGTTCTGCCATTGTTCGCCTGCATCTGTACTGTATATTAGTATACCCCGTACTGGCCTGGAGCTTTGTACACCGCACTATACCCTTCACTGCAATAACATCTGTCGCTTTCATCAACTTTACTCGCGTCAATCAGCGCCTTCAGAACCGTTGGGGGAAATTGGTGTCTTTATTTGGGCAAGAACTCGGCAGCGTCAAACAATGGCGCGTCATCCTACCGCCGATCATTCAAGACGTCGCCGATTCTCGCCTTCTCCCTCTGATTTCCGAACATGCGCGAGCCGAAAGGGCAAGCCGACTATCTTTGCGGCGGAGGGTATAGGCTCAGCACGTTGGCCGAGGGAGGCACGTATACTGGCAGACTGCCGCCGAGCCCGCCGAGGGGCAGATCAAAGTTGAAGCTAAGGCGATGATGTAACGGATTAGGGGCGTGTTCGGGCATGGATTGGGTCGATTAGATTGAAGCCACAGCTCTCCTGTACTCTACCCTTACTCTCATCAACTCGATGTCCCAGGCCATCGCACCCACGCGCTCGTCGTCGCTAGCCTCCCAGCCGCCACGACGACCGACGCGCGATGTGCCGCCCCCGCCGCCCGAATCACCGCCGCCGGCTCCCGCGCCGTGGTTGCCGAGCGCGAACGTTGGGTCGAGCGTGCTAGGCGACGAGGAGGTCGTCCCCCGGGCAGCGTCTCCTGAGCCCGAACCGGCAGAACGGGCCCAGTCGCTGGAGCTGACTGCTATACGGGCGCACTACCTGAAGAAGACGCTGATTCAACTGCAATTCCACGCGGAGATACTGTCGCTCGTGTCGCCCAACCCCTCGGGAATATCCACCCTCTCCTACCTCGGCCCGCCATTTACTCGACCACCGAAAGATGACCGCGCACCGCTGGACATGCCCTTCCTGCGCTACGTCTTCCGGCAGTTCATATTGACGTTCCCGTTCCTGTCCAACGTCCCGCCCGACTTCTTCCCCGACAAGGTCCAGCCGTTCGTCTCGTCCCTCCTCACGCGCTCCATATTCTCCCCCACGTCTATATTCGGAGATGAGGAGCAGGACGAGGACACGCAGAGCACGGCCAAGCTGCTCAACAAGGCCGAGCGCTCGTCGGCTTTGCTCCTCAACTACGCCGTCAAGATCGCAGAGCCCGAGCAGGTCGTGCGGTTGACGCAGCAGGATCTGGCCAGGCTCGAGACGCTGGCGAGGAGGAGAGCGGCCAGGGCATCGAGGAAGGCGGACGTGTTTGATGTGAATATTATTGGTGTGCGGGCGGTGACGGAGAAGGGGCGCGTCAGGAGCCGGGTGCATGAGGAGTTTATTATTCGGCTCAGGAGGTCGAGGCAGCAGGACGTCTATGTGTCGAGGAGGTACGGTGACTTCAAGACTCTATCCGACGAGGTGCGCTTCATTAGAATTGCATCCTGACCATTGAACTTATTCGCGCTCTAGTTGCGCAAGCGCCACCCGGAAGAGTTCATCAAACCACCTCCAGCCAAAGATCGTACATACGCAACAGCTCCCACAAACAACACCCTCTCGCCCACACCTTCCAGAGACAGCGCCGACTCCCTCCCGATCTCCCCCACATCCCCAACCTACGGCGGTACACCCCAAAGCCGGCTCGCCCGCGAGAAGAACAGGCTGACACTGCGCGCCTATCTCCACGCGCTGCTCGCGTTGCCCGCTGTAGCTGGCAGCCCGGTCATGGCCAGCTTCCTCACGAGCGGCGCGATCCAGCTCAGCCCATACGAGCTTGACGATGCGCGTAGGCGTGAGGAGATGGACAGGCAGCGCGACGAGGGGCGCAAGCACTTCGCGGATGAAGTTGCCGCGCGCGTCGATCAGCTGCGAGGGACGCTCAAGAACTTCAAGGGCGATGTTCTCGGCAAGGATGGCCTCACACATCTTTTCGCGGTGATCAAGACGACCGAGAACGTACGCGACCTGCCGCCCGACTTCCAAGCCGTCATTGAATGGGGCCGCATATCCCTCGCGTCGACCGTGTTCCATCACTACGTCGCCTCAGACGACGCCTCAGAGTCCATAGCGGGCCTCAAACGCATACACGGTCTCATGCCCTACTTCCTCCTGAAATCGGCATTGAAGATTTCGAACCCGGTCGGCATGATCCGCGCCGTCCTCGAACTCTTCACCGCGCAGCCTTTCGGCGGTCGGTCGCTTTTGCAGCGGATGTTCACGAGCTCGCTGTACGAGGACGTCAAGGCGATTCAGGAAGAGATCGCCGCTGTCACCGATAAAGTCGACGATCCGGTCCTGTGCGAGAAGGTTCGGACGTTCGTGTATGCGCCCAGGGAAATACAGGCGATATACCGCGCAGACGCCGAGGCGGAGGGCATCAACATCCTGACAGCCGTCCTCCGCTCTCCCGAAGCGCCGCAGCTATCTCGAGCGCAGATGCACAGGGTCTTAAGAGCGCACAGAGCCCACGCGGAGTACATGCGCTCGAAAGCCGAGCTGGCCGACAGCGACGACGACGACGGCCCGCAAGACGAGGACGCCTGGCTCTTCGAAGACCTGTCCATCCTCGCGAAGCTCACGAGCAAGCTCCGCGACAAAGAGCAGCTCATCGAGCTCATATTCGAGGGCACGACCGCGGACCTGCTCAAGGACATCATCACGATCTTCTACGCGCCGCTCGCGCAGGTCTACCGCGCGGCCAGCATCGCGGACAGCATAGGCGACCTGCAGACGTTCATCAATGATCTGATAAGGACGGTGGACAGCGCGGAGGAGCTCACGCAGGAGGATCCGAGGCGGACGGTGCAGATCTTTATTGATCTGATTGGAAGGCACGAGCAGGCGTTTTATTCGTTTGTGCATAAGGTGCATTCGAAGGGCGAGGGGCTGTTCAGCGCGCTGTTGCGGTGGATAGAGCTGTTCTTGACTGTCGCGCGCGAGGGATTGGGGCAGGGAGAGCGGATCCCGCTCGAGGTGTTGCTACCGCATTCTGGACAGGAACGCGCGGATATCCTCGCGGAAGTCGATGCGGTCGCCCTATACCATTACCGGTTGAAAGTGGCGTACGAGACGAAGCTCCGCAGACGGTTCGGACAGGCGGCCGGTGGACCAACAGCCGAAGACGAAGCGGCCGCGGCCATCGTCGACGGCTTCGTGCGCGATTTCAGCTATGGGGATATTATGAAAGGTGATGCGGAGGAAGTTGCCGCCGAAGACGATCGGGACGAGGAAGATTCGGACGAGGAGGAGGAGGAGAGCAGTAGTGGGGACGAAGAGGATAGCGATACGGATAGCTATGAGACGGCTACGACTGAAAGCGAGAGTCAGCCGGCGACTGCTACGCTTGCGCGCGCGAAGACTATGCCGTTCCCTGCTCCTGCGTCTTCGTCCAGACCGGGCTCGAGGCAGTCGCAGGCACAGGAGGACGATAAGACGCCTACGCCTTCAATGCGTACACCGTCCTACGTCGCGCAACCGCAGCCTCAACCTGCCCAACAACAACCTCAACCTCAGCCGCAACAACAGAAGACAGGCCGCCAACGTCTTCTCTCACTAACATCCTCCAACCCCCTCCGCCGCGCCCGCTCGATGACATTCGACGGCTCGAAAGAAACATCGCCCACATCCCGGCACTCAATCGACGCCCCGCCCGTCCCCGCCGTGCCCGCCCATCTCTCCCGCGGCAAACCTTTGCCCGCACACCCAGCACAGGGTAAACCAGGCTTCGAGCGCCCGCCACCTCCACCTCCCAAAGCCTCGAGCTCGCGCTCGAGCTTACTGTCCACGCAAAGTCAAAGTCAAAGCCGATCCCAGTCTCTGGCGCGTGGGAGTCCGCCTACAACTGCGAGACCGGGTGGGAAGGGTAAGGAGGCTGATAGGAGCCGGTCGAGGAGCGCTGTGAGGAGCCCGCCGAAGAGTCCGAGGAAGGAGAGGGCGCCGGCTGCGAAGATGCCCGAGTTGACGAAGGTGCCGGAGTTGTTGCCTTTGTTCGTTGAGATGGTTTGTGGTTCTCTCTAGGGACTATTGGTTGAGATGGGATGGGTGCTGATGTGAGTGTTTGTAGATGCGTCCTATGCTGCGTCCGAGGTCGTAAGGGTTATGGGTTCTGAACAGACTATGTATCCGGGATGCTTCTTGTTTCCATTTTGCGACAATGACTCATCTATCAGCGTGCTATTGCTTGTATGTCCAGTGCTCATGATGTAATATATCATTCTGCTTTCCGTGTCGCTTTTGCTTGGGGGTCGTGATTGAGTTCGGCAAGTACCATAAGTATTTCACCGAGATATGTGTTGGGTATTATCGTGCATGTCTATGTACTTTGTGTGATGGTATGTTGTCTGTTCCAGATCGTATAATGAAGTCACGATGCACGATGAGTATATATCATCCAAAAAGAGAAACCCTCCAGCAGCTCCCCGCCTCCAGCATCAAGCAACGACTCCTTCCCCCTCTACCTCCGACTGCCGAACGCAGACCAGCTGCGCCCGGCCACCTCGACAAACAAGCACGACTAGATCGAGCGCTCGGATATCTGGAACCGCTTGAACGTGTACCCCAAGAACGCCAGATCCTTATTCGCGCCGCCCGCGTCGGCCGCGACGGGTTCCTCGGGCGCCTGGTCGAGCTCGTCGGTGGGGAAGTAGGAGGTATCAGTGATAGAGCGTAAGCGCGGGACGAAGGGCGCGTCGATGTGTCGGATCGACGCCCAGTCTACGCCGTAGAAGAAGGGGTGCTGTTTGATTTGCTCGACGGCTAGGCGGCGGTCGGGTGAGGTGATCAATCTGCGAACGTGTGTGAGCATGAAGTAAAGGGAGAAGTATGAGGGGAGAGCGGAGACGTACCGCTTGACCATGTCCTCCGCCTCGCGCGAGAGGTGCACGTCGTCGGGTATGACGAGGTACCTCTGCCAGTTGATAATCTTCTGATACGTCTCATGCGTCGTCTCCGAGCAAAACGGCGGGTACCCGACCAGACACTCGAACATGATAGCGCCGAGCGACCACCAATCGCACTCGTTGCCGTACCCCTGCTGCATGAAGATCTCCGGCGCAATGTAGTCGGGCGTTCCAACGGTCGAGTACGCCAGCTTCCTCCGGTTGGCTTTCCACGTCGCTATCTGGTCTTTGGACGTCATAGTGAGGTTGATGGCGTTGACCATCACACTATTCCGCGCCGCCTGCGTCGCCGAGACCGGTGTGCCCGCCCCGGTAGCCTGATCCAACAACTTCTGATAATACGACGAGTCGTGCTTCTTATGGAAGCCCGTCGAGAGTCCGAAATCGGAGAGCTTGACGTGGCCGTCTTTGTCGATGAGGATGTTGTCCGGCTTGATGTCGCGGTGGATGAAGCCGAGGTTGTGCACGGCCTCGATGGCGAGGACGCACTCGGCCATGTAGAAGCGCGTGACGTCTTCGGAGAAGGTGTCGTATTTGATGAGCATCGTCATTAGGTCGCCGCCGGGGAGGAACTCCATTATTAGGTAGAGGTAGGAGGGGTCTTGGAAGGAGTAGAAGAGCTGGACTACCCAGGGCGAGTTGGATTCGGCTAGGACGTCGCGTTCGGCGCGGACGTGGGCGAGCTGTTGTATGTGTTAGGATTATGTGAGAGTGGGAGTGAAGTGAAAGTGACAGACCTGGTCCTTCTTCAACATCTCTTCCTTCTTGAGCGTCTTCATGGCGTATATCTTCCCCGTGTCCGTCTTCTGCACCAGCCGTACCTGACAGCACCCATCAGCCCCAGTCCAAAATAGTACACTTGCCATCACATACCTCACCAAAAGCACCCTTACCAATGACCTTGACCGTCCTGAAATCGTCCAGACCGAGCTTCGTTCTCCTCAACCTCAAGAACGTGGACTCCTTCTTCCCATGCTGGTGCAACAACCTCTGCTTCCTCTCGTCCGGCATCAACGGGTCTCCCTGGATCTTCCTCTCAACTTCTACCCTCCTGCACAATCCAGTCAGCCTCACAGACCATTGCACTTCACCCCACCACGACGCACCTGGTGTTACGCTCAATGGCAGCTTCGACAGCGATCTTATAGAAGTGCTCAAGCTTGAGCTGCGCCGTCTTAGCTCTCGGCACCGCGTCGTCAGAAAAGCCCGACGTAGTGCGGTCGAAATAGACATAGTCGGCCGGTTTGTCACCGTTGTTGCTGCTGTTGCCCTGTCCAGGTGTCGGTGCGCTGGGCGTCGTCGGCGAGCGACCGCCTGCGCCGCGCAGATCACCTCTGGAGGACGAGCGCGAGACGGGCGGACGGGGAGGCGCGCTCGAGGCCATGGTGATGGTAATGTAGAAGGCAGGTTGCTGTTGCTGGCCGTTGTCGCGTTGCCCAGGACCGGAGATCGCGAGTTTGGGTCTCATCTCGCAACGCGTCTATATTCCCACACTGATGATGGAAGCACCCTCGCTTAACCGTAAACGCATGTATAACCTGAAGTATGTACGTATGTCAGAGAGCGTAGAAATACAGCAGAGCACTGGGCACAGAGGACCAAACAAATCCATAGTCCGGGGGTAAGAATGCGAATGGGGAGAGAAGGCGGACTGTGAACGGAGGGTAGAAATACAGCAGGCAATCCCAAGTACTGAATGTTATTATATGTCAACTCGTCATCGCGAACCGTATATGTCGCGCATAAGCTGGTCCTCATTCGTAGCCCACTGACCCAGCGGCAAACTCGGCGCGCTACCCGTCGAGTACGTGCTAACGCCGCCCACAGAAGCGCGCGCAGAAGGCCCCAACCCAAATCCAGCGCCCGGCGGCGGCCCTCCCGCTCCAGCTCCTATCGACGCATTAGCCGCCCTCCCTCTCAAACTCACAGACGAATGTGTCGAATGCGAGTTGACCGATCCAACAGATGAGTCGCTAATTCGGCTGTAGACGCTCGATCGATCGACCGAGAATTCCCTATTAAGCAAGGGCGAAGGGGGCGTAGAGACCGACGCCGCCTGATGATGATGTTGAGGCCTGTAACAGATATACATATAATCATCAGGATTGTGGACGAGCGCGAATCAAGAGAAGCTCTGTGGCTGCGTACGGTGAAGATGGCTGGGATTGATAGAGCTGAGACGACGCCGAGTTTGCCGCTTTGGATGGGGTCATCGCGGAAGCCACATGTGTACTGAAGGAGCATCATCAGCGAAGGAAGTTCATCTGGCGACAGAGAAGGTATAGAGCCTGCGCTCGCTCGATTAGGCCGACAAGCGATGAGTATGCGAGCAGGGCTGGTTTGACGCGTAGATCAAAGCATAAGCTCAATCTACATCGCCGCTGTCGGCCCGACTGGGAACGAGAACGAAGACGAAGACGAAAGTTACAACTTACCCATAGAAAGAAGCGGCACCAGCAGACGCCGATCCAGACCCGTTCGAAGAAGCATAGGCCAGATTCGGATTGAAAGACGTATGCGATAGGCCAAAGGACGCCGGACCGCGCGCAGCATGTGAGGGCGCAGGACGGTCCTGAAGCGGTATAGAGCGCACAGGAGGCTGGATTGTGTGCGCCCGAGGAGAAGCGTATGCGGCCGGAGAGTTCGGTTGGGTCGAGGGAAGCGCGGCGGTGGATGGGCGCGGAGGTGGCGTTCCGAAGCGGGTCATCGTTGCGTGGGCTGGCGGGGAGTGCAGGGGAGAGGCTGGCCGGGAGTTGAAGTGCGGGTGGTAGGCGGGCACGGTGGTCGGCGTGAACGGCGGCGGCTCGTCCTCTGGCGATTCCCGTCCATTCACCACCATCAGTCGCCCCAGCTGCGTCCTCTGTGGCGGTCGCTGGTGGAGGTTGAGCGCCACATCGAGACTGGCGATGTTCGATAAGCTCGCACCTTCATCATGCTCGGCCGCGGCCTCAACTGCGTGCTCTGTCTGCCAGCGGAAGAAGAGGCCTCATTAGCAGCCTGCTCGAAAGCACCCGCATCGTAGATCAGCCAGCCGTCCTCATCCACGATCTCCCTCCGCCGCAGACTCGTCTTCTCCGGCCGCGCGACAGAGTACTCGTAGCTCGGCAGATCAGTCGGGCTGTCAGGCTGCTCGAACAGTGATGCTCCAGACATTCGAACTTGAGAGTGCGAGGTGGGATGTCAGGGAACCATCCCGACCGCCCCTGCCAATATATCACACACTTGACCGATTCGAAACGAGGAGGACATCTGCGCCTTGCCCTACCCGGCCTGGTCGGAGCGCCCGTTCATTCAATTGATCTCCGGCCGTCCGTCGGCTGGGCCCGCGCGCTGATTGGTTCGCTCGCTTTCTGACGCTCCGACTCGCTGCGGTTGTTGTTGTCTGTAGCTCGACTGTACAGGATGCTATGAGGTCGTTGTACCGTGGCTCAAGGTTTGGACGTCTTCGCGAAGTTCTCTTCGAGGTATAGCAGTCGTCGGAGGGTAAATCCCGCGGACACGCAGCATAGTCATACATCTCCTTCAAGGCTAGCCCTTGATCTCATTGCATGCCCAGCACTGCAAGGGTACGGCGCGGTACGTGCAGCACGCGATCTCAAGTCCTTTCTGGCTTTGCCACTCAACCAGCCGAGCTCGCCAAAGAAGGATCAGATTCGTCTGTGAGCGAGCGTATAATATATGTACAAGAAAATCTGATGAGAACTGACGATCCCCTTGGCAGGACGGACGACCAAGCCGCACCGACGCACCTGAAAGGCAGTGCGCGTATACACGCGCCTAACACGCTGCGCCCAGTCAGTCGTATCGTGACGCGGTAAGTAAGCCGCAAAATTGCAGCCTCAGCACGTTTCTTCTCGAAGGGAAGGCTGAAGACTCCAACTTCTGCACGCTAGAACTAAACCGTCGAAACTCAGCACACCGGTCCCGACCCCGAGCGCGACGGAAAGCTGTGGTCGAAAGTAGACAGAACAAGCCTCGGAGAACAACTCCAGCTGGCCCCGGTCCCAGCGTGTTCGACGCCGAGGATCGGAATCGAGAGAAGCGCGTTCAGAGTCGACGCACCCACATGAAGTACGCGCCGACCGATGACAGAAGTCAACTCGAATGTATTCAGAGGAGATCGGAACGATGTCGGATTGCTGCAGCTGTACAAGTATCGCACCGGGTACGGGCGGATGAGAGTCCGGAGGAGCCCGCAAGAAGAACAAGGGAAAGCATGCGCGGTCAGTGAAAGTGTGGGTACCCGAGACCGGACGGCGGCCTGTCATGCGTCTGAAGAATGTTGTATGCATTGCACAGTAGATGTGGTTGTATAGCAGAGGGTATCATTTACCGGAGGGTATCGTAATGGCAGACGTAGCAAAAAGCGCCTGCGCAAGTCCTACATCCTATGCGGGTATCCGTTTCATATGATGACGAGAAGTTGAACGCTGAACAGCAGCAGCCCGATCGTGTTTCTCCGAAGCCCAGAACCCCAAAGAAAAGAAAGTCTAGAAAGGAAAGCCAGAAGGAAGCCCGACAGTACTGTTTCGCTCTCCGGTCGTAACATTCAGCCCGAACGGAAGCGCGCCCTCGACCGGGAGCCGGTTGGGCAGCGTAAAGTTGAACTGCCTCTTTTCGGTGCTCAAGTCCTGCTCTGAGTCGTCGCCCTCGTCGCCCCAGAATACGAAGGGGAAGCCGCCGCTGGTGTCGGTGTCGGTATCGTTTGTGTTGTCTGAGTCTGTGATGTTGCCGTTCTCGGGGAAGAGGCCGATTGGGATTTTGGTCCAGAGCGGAAGATGGGCGTTGCGGGTAAAGTTGAAGACTCCGTCGTCAATATCGTCGGAGTTCGAGGCGTCATCGTCATCGCGCTTGAACTTGAATGGGAAGTTTGAAGGCAGGCCGACGGTGGTATTTTGCGCTCCAGGCGTGAGGGTGTTGTCAAATGGGAGTACGCCTTCGACGGGTAGTTGGTTGGGTAGTGTAGCGTTGAACTGGCGAGCCTCGAGACCGCGTTTGAATGGGAAGCCCGAGGGCAAGCCGACTGTCGTGTTTTGCGCTCCAGGCGTAAGGGTGATGTCGAAAGGTAAGACACCTTGAACGGGGAGTTGGTTGGGAAGAGTGGTGTTGAACTGGCGAGCCTCGAGATCGCGTTTGAATGGAAAGCCAGCAGGAAGGCTGACAGTCGTGTTTTGCGCTTCAGGCGTGATGGTGATGTCGAATGGAAGAACGCCTTGAATGGGAAGCTGGTTGGGTAGAGTGGTGTTGAGCTGAGGCTCGCGCGCCGCCAGGGCGAGGGCTGCATCGCTGCGCTTCACACTGTAAGGTAGGTTAGGATCCAGTCATGTAAGGATTGTAGAAGGGGAGACTTGCGAAGCGGGAGCGGCAGAGACGGGGGTCGACAGACCAGCTGCGAGAATGACGAGGGTGGAGAACTGAGTGGAGAACATCGTCGAGATGGTTGACTTTTGAGTGTTGGAGTGCGATTGGAGTGTGTGGGTAGATGAGATGTGTGGATGATTGAAGACCGGCTTGAGGATTGGAGAGTAGATTCGCTCACCTTATATAGTCATCAGGGAGCTCCTGTAGCTGTATGGTTCGGATTAGAGCTACCCGAAACCTGACATTAGGAGAGCACGGCGCTGATTACATAGGGCTGAAGCCACACTGAGCTGGTATGGGCTTTCCAACTTAATTCTTCGCAAGCTCACCGCCGTATTATGACAGGTTAACATCGCTTGTCGTCCTGCAGAAGATCAGGCGCGGGTCACAGCCGATCCGGGGAAGACTGGGAAGGAGGTAGGGGGGACAGGGGGTAAGCCACGCTTGACCGTCCCGAGACGCCAGTTCGCCCCGAGACACCCTCCTCCTCCGAGACAGATAGGCACTGCAGCTCCGGCAGTGGACTCTCTGTGTGGGCTCGGGGGAAAGAGGCAGGCGTCGCGGCAGATGTGAACAGCGTAAGCACGCTGTCCAGACGGAGTCCTTGCTTTCCCTTCCGTCAAAACTCAACAGGCGCATGAAGATAGAGCAAGAAAGTCGTAAACATTTGGGCCATACAACCGCACTCGATGCGCATGAGTGGTGGCTGTAAGGGAGCAGGAGCTGGCTGCGAGCGACGGCGACGTCGTGGCCAGAGGTTGGAGAGGCTCCGCAGTCGCACGCCCGCGCCTTGATCCCAACCTTCATGACGTTCGCCTTGCGCACGATGAACCTGCCTAAAAGTTACTTGCGTGGGACGGACGTCGCTCGAGGTTGCGTTCTCGACGCTCTCGACGGTCCGCGGTCCGCGACGGTTGCCTTGTTCATCCTTCGATGCGACTGCCGCATCCGAGCCTGTTCCGGTCGTGAATGGGGGGAAGCTCTTCCGAAGGCACATCTTCGGCGTCTGTGGCTGGTGTACGACCACTCAAACTGTCTACATCACAGCTTGCAACACTGTTCGTACAAGGTCACATGGATACCTTCTCCCATATCCGAGCCTGTTCCGTTAGCTCGAGCGCAGATGCATCTCAGCGGCCTCAACGGGCAGATTATCGGATGCTATATTGGCCTGTGACAATGCACGCTGCACCATGACGCTGTTGTGGATGTACGATACTCTTCTTGACCTTGTGGTCTTTGCAGCATCAGAGCAACTCTGCCGTCACCTGTCGAGGCCGCGTTCATATCGTATAATGGATTGCACGTATGCAGCCGGCCCGGTACCTTACGACTGGTTTCCACCGACCATTCGACTTCACCGTCACGACAACCGCTCGCATGATCCATGCGGAGTACGAGGTCTAGGTTTACGGACACGTACTGCGGTAGTGTCGCCGTGAGTCTATATAAGAACGTTGTCGTTTATACTACCATCCACAAGCTGGACCTCGTAGCTCGCAGTTCACAATGGTCAAAGTCCTTGCAACATTCGCAGCCCTCGCGCCTTTCCTGAGCACCGCTCTTGCCGACTCTTGGGGTCCGGCCTTCTCATTGGGACCCACGTCCGGCGCCGTCATTGGCACGTCGTACACTTTCACCTCGGGCACTCCTCCTAGCCCACCTGAGAAGTATGCTCTTCATACCCTGCCAGCCGTTCAAACAATGCTGACTGTCTGCGCCTAGCTACGTCTTCCTCTGGGTGGGTATCAGCAATGCCACGAGCGGTCTCATCCAAGCTGGCACGAACCAATATGCCGACCAGAACGCAGCGTACGCACACCTTACCGGGGTCGAAGACGCTTTCCTTCATATTTCACTAGGTGCGGCGCGACGAACTCGCAGTGGTGCGCTGGCGCAAGCTACTTCGGGTATGTTACTTCACGAGCTGAGCGCCATACCGTGACGTTTGACTGGCTTTCTGCAGCGTCGTCGACGGCCAGACGACTCAAGTTGACGGCCCTATGGTTCCTGTGAACGGTGACACACCGGTGTACGTCGACTACTCGGTGAGCTGATACAATGTGCTGTTCTCGAGGGCGTTGCAGAGCTGACCGGTTGCTCTCAGCTGAGCGGCAACACCTGGACTCAAACTGTTGAGGTCGGCGGTAAGGTCGTCTCGACCGTTACCTCCCGTACGTCTACTGCACATAAGACTCAGTAGATATAGCTCATGTTATACTCATATAGAGGACGGCCCTCTCCTCAATGGTGGCTGGGGAACCGGCACCGAGTGCCAGCAGAATTGGTGCGCGATCATGATCCCTCTCTGCTCTCCATCAATCTAATACTAGGGCTCGTTAGCTTCGGCACTGCGGCGACGCAGCATTACTACGACATCACGATCTACCTGTCCGAGGCAGACCCCAACTTCAAGAACACCCTCGGCAAGGGGTCCGGTGTCGTCGCAAGTGACATGGTTACTTCGGACGGTGGCAAGACGTGGACCATCTCGTCGATCACGCTGCCCAAGTACACAGCTTGAGTAGGCGAAAAGTGAAAGAAAGCTGTCTTTGAGGCCGGGACGACGATTGGACGCGTGTCATTGTCGGGATTGCATACGTGATTATGCTTCAATGTCGAATTGGGATTACGGAATGTTTGAATGGATATGGTCATGGTCATACCGACTCTCAGATCGGCTTCAACAGGCAGAAGACAAAGTGTGTGCATGAGGTGAAGGTATGTACTACGAGCCTCGTGGCAATAGGTATACAGTACGCGTATAGGCGTAACAGCCTGAAGTCTATGGGATGCAAAATCAGAACGAGAATATGGCACCCTTCTTCCTCGAGCCAAAAGCGTACACCAATGCCTGGCTCATGAACAACCCGACAGTGATACCGATGGTGACCGCAATCATAGCAGCGCCAATCTCGATACCGTTTCCATTGGCCGTGATACCGCCCGCTTGTGAAAGGCCGGACTAAGGGGGGAGTGCATGTCAGCGTCGTACGAGTGAAGTCAGAGTCAAGTGATGCGTACCGGCACGAGGAAGAGCACGCCGGTGACCATGACTTGGAAACCAGTACCACCGAATCGCCGCGAGTACATATTTCCCAGCATGCCACATACGAACGCGCCGATAGCGCTCACGACGTCTGAACGACCAAAGATATAGTGGTTCGCAGCCTTGTTGGCAGTGTATGACGCGCAGGAGATGACGACCATGACGATAAGGTCGCGAGACTTCCATGGCTGCAGATTACCTAGGCTTGTGCCAATGGAGAAGAGTGGCACGATGATGAAGGAAGAGTAAAACGGGAAGGGTTGCTTGTACCAGGGGAAGTACTCCGGGCGGTAGCAGCCCTCGATCAGGTCCTTCAGACCAGGGGCGGCGTCATTCTGGAAGGTGAATGTTCCGTTGAGTGGGATGGTCGCTGAGCCGACAGTACCGTTGTCCGCGATGAATTGCCCGGAGTAGATGATGCTGGCGCCGCTCGTTGAGAACGACTTGAGGAACTCGCGCGCTTTGGGATCGAAGAGAAGGAAGATGTCCGAACCGATCTGCAAGCCGAAGCCCAGGAAGAGCGTGTAGATGAGGGCGTAGACCATCTTGACGGAGCCTGTCAAGATGTTCTTCGAAGCCATCTCAAGTGAGCTACTGACTACGAATAGTTAGTTGATGGGAAAAGTGGTGAAGGGAGAAGACTCACGAATGAGGTAGCCGGGAAGTATGCCAATGATGGCCGCCGACGAGACGGCCGTATAGCAGAAGAGCTGCGACGAGATGCTGGATAGACCACGGGCGGCAAATGATATCAACATGGCAACAGTGATCCTAAGGGCGCAGTCAGAACGACGTCCCCATGAATCGAGTCGAGAGGTACGCACTCGAACACGTTCTCGTACAGACTCTTCGTAGCCACAGTACTCTGCAAGAACGACAGCAAGACTGCGCCAGTGCCGGCAAGCCACATATCGACGAATGAACCGCCAAACGCAAGCGGGCAGATTAGAGCAGACAGTAAGAATGCTAAAGCAGATCGTATCCAACGACCATAGATAGGCGGGGTATCAAGGATCTTCTGTAACATCTTCGCCGCTTCTTTGGCAGAGACCTCGTCGTGCACGACCTTCCGATAGATCTGGTGAACGTCGTGTAAAGAGCCCAGAGAGAGAGCGCCGCTGCATTTCACGAAATGCGTCTCGGATGTCTTGTACTCTGGATCGCCGAAGGAGACGAGAATCTGTACGATCACATCAGAGGCGCGCAGGCATAGTCATCGAAATGGAAACGCACAATTGACGGTAAGTGCACAAACTCTGCCTCAAGTTCGAGCACTCGCGCGGCAGACGAGAGCTGCATTTCAATGCGATGAGACGGGGCGGAGAATGTCATGAGCGCCCGAGCTAACTTGATGATAAACTTCCGTCGGTTGATGATCGCTGCAGACACCAGTCAGAGTAGAGCACCGTTGCGGCATGATGTAGTACGTACAAGTCACATTGTATTGGATGACCATTTTTGCCGCTTCCTTCTTGCGTTCACGATAGGACATGTTCTTCAACACCATACTACGGCGCGTGAATGCCTCACGCTCGACCTGGTCATCAAGCTGCTCGCGCCTGATACCAGTTACTCGAGGGTCGTCATCATCGTACCCCAGAGAGCCGGCAGAGTCGACAGAAGACCGCCTGCTGTACGCTGGAAGCGTCACGCGCGTCTCATCACTACCGAACCGTCCATCCTCCAACTCTTCAAGATCGGCACCACGTTCGACGTTCCAGAGCTTAGTCTTCTCGCTCTGTAAGCCGCGATGCTGGCGTTGACGAAGCATCGGGTCCTCAATCGGGTGAAGGAGGGGTTGACCGTCACTGCCTTGTTCATCCTCGGGACCGTGCGGTGCGCCATATGTCTTTTGGAACGGGGACTCGCGGTGCGGGTTGGGAAGCGTGTCGAAAGGGTGGTCTTTGTCACCGAAAAGGGACTTCTTCTCGTTGATCGTATCGACCACCAGTGTAGAATCGGAACCACGCTGGCCAGAGCCGGAAGCCTCTGCCGAGCCTCGATCTTGATGTCCATTGGCGAAATCTGTAGGCGGGTCTGAGCGGTCTTGGGAGGTCGCAAGATTACCAGGAGGACGCCTTGGCGAGATGCTCTAAACGCAAAGACAGCCCGATCAGATCAGGTACATTGGTCCAAAAACACTTCGTACCTCGGGAAATGCGACGGGGGCGGGTGCTGCAAGAGCGTGCTGCGAGGCGAAAGGGTTATATCCGTTGACGGGAGTCTCAAGAGGAGTGCGTGAGGCGGTGAGAATGCTAGCGGTGCTGATGCTAGCACCGTCGGTAGAGTCCGGTATTCCCTCGAAGTGTACTGAGTTGCGCCGACGTTCGTTGGGGCCAGTAGAAGAGTCGGCGTTATGGGACATGGCGAACAGCAGATAGGCGGGTAGAGATCTAAGGCGGTTGAAGAGCGGTGGGCATGAGCAACGAGAGGAACTGTCAGCGTATTGCAGTCGAACTTTGGGAGCGACAGTCGTTCACGCGCTCAAAGAATGCATGTAAGTGATGTGCAGGGGAATGACAGGTATGCATTGCACAACACTGTCCTCCTACGCGCTTGTACGTAGAGAGTATTTGTTACCCATTCCATCAGTCGCATTACTGCCTTGATTTACACTGCTCGTGGAATTGTGGATTCGTCGGTACGGAAGGCATATGCACATCGTGGTCGAAAGCAAACCCGAGCTGGGGAAGTGAGCGTACGGATCGGTCCGGTTGGACCGAGTGGCGAGCACGTGTCAATCAACAAAGTGACGCCGCTAAAGCCCCTAACCGCACGGCTTTGTCTCTCAACACCACCGCGTCCATATTTGCAACGGACCTTGCCACTTTCTTGAGAGCGCCCTCGAGCGTATTTGCTTCAAGAAGAGAACTCTGCTGTGCTGGGGAGCCTGCTGCTAGGCTTTTGACTTATACGCTCTGATGAGCCTCGCTCGATTGAGCGCCCGCGAGCTTGCTTTAAACGCCGCGGCGGCTGCGGCCATATCAAGTCTACCTGATTTGGACGAGAAGGATGTCGACAATCTAGACGACTCATGCCCGATATGTCTTTTGAGCTTTCGGTCTTTGTTGGATGGCACGGCAGACGAAGTACTCGGCGAATCGAGCATGGGCTTAACGAAGGTTGAGGCGTGCGGTCATATATTCTGCATGAATGAGTACGTTACCCTCCTGTATGCGCGCGCTTTCGCTAATGCGAGCTATAGTTTGGCAGAGTGGATTCGAGGAAAGGTGAGCGCAACCAAACGAAGGTGTCTCTTTCGGGAACTGAGTTAGGGGCTTTATGAACAGCACGGTACATGTCCCGCGTGCAGACATCCCTTTCTTCCCGAACTATTGGCAACGGAGTCGGACGACGAGTCTTCAGACGGGGGAGAGTATGTACCGACAGAGTACGAAGCCGACACCGATATGGATACCGATTACGAGGACGACCGTGATGGATTCTTCGGCAGCGACGGCGTTGACATCGAGACTATGGAGCTTGAGGACGACGCATCGTCTGCAGTCAATACGAATGCGGTGAATCACGAAAGTGCTGTCATACGTACTCAGAGTCCCTACGTGCGACGTGTCGCGAACGAACCGAGGGCACATATCATCGAAGAATCCTGGTGGGACAGTGGGAGCGTGGACGGAGAACATGAATGGGGCTTGACGGATGGCGAATCAATGAGCGCCAGCGATGACGGGATGTATCACAGGGAAGATGATCATCGTGGTAGATAGCTCTCACCAGATCATATAGGGCTCTCGCTGATCCAATTTGCTAGACACCGATATTCAAGTCCGCCTCGACTCCGAGGGCGAGTACGCGTTGCAGGAATCGGAGCAAGGTCCTACTTCAGACAAACCTAGCCCTCCAGCACAATGACAAACATAGTTTCATTCTCTCTCGTCGATTTGCGGTCCGAGCGAGATAGCGGTCAGACCGTCATTCTCGGCTATTCATCCTATGGGTTCCCCGGTCATAAATGTACATTCTAAATATTTGTATGTCCGTACACTTGTAACCTAGTATCTGCTATACATCGCACGTTCTTTACGATTTCAGTTTAAGCTGTGGACTGTGTCAAAGCGGCCTCTGCCGCCTTTCCCTCCCGGTCATGCAGCCAGACCCCCGTGTTCTTCCCGCTCCAGCGCGCTCCTTTGCCTCCACCCTTCAACGTCTTGAACTGCGCCTTCAGTGCCTCTCCAGCCTGTTTGACCCGCGCGTCATTACTCCCGAAAAGCATGACAACAGTCGTAGTCGTAGCAGTCTGCGACGACGGCGTAGAGGTTAAGAGTAGGGTATATGCAGGAGCGGTGTCGTCATTCGGTAGGAGATCCTGCATGGCGAAGGTGATGGCCTGCAAGAAGGGTAGTGCACCTGAAACGGTATCGTCCGTGCGAGCTACATGCTTCGTCCATTCCCCTTGTCCGCCCTCCGCCTTCCATTGCAACATCTCATCCACCAAACCCTTAGCCAGCAGACGCGCGAGCTCGCGCTCAATGTCGTCGATACGCTTCTCGCGACGCTTGCTCTCTTCAACTACCGACGCCACACGTTCGGGAGATTCGGTCATGCCGCAAGACATGATCCCCGCCGTGCGTGCCAATAGAGCCTGCACGGATCCGAGATGCGTGAGCAGACGCGGGCCAGAGAGGAAGTAGTGGCGGAAAGGAGCTGAGCCACCACCGACGGGCGGCGGAAGAATGTAGGTCTGTAGCGACGAAAGCGTGGGCATATGCGTGCCACAGCAAGGGTTGCGGTCGACGCCATCGATGACTACGACACGATGGACACCACCGGTGTAGTCTTTCGGCAGTCCACGACCCATCTCGCGATTCGCAGGTGTGCTTGTCCCGGAGTCCACGCCTGCCTCTCCTGCATGCAGCTCTTCAACCTCAACCCAAACGCGTCTTCCCTCGAACACTAGCCGGTTGACCTCGTCCTGTAAGAGCTGCGTCTCCGCGACGGTCAAGGCGCGTGGGAGATCGACGTAGGACGGTGCAGGGAACGCTGATAAGGACCACGCCAGAGTGGGTACACCCAACCTCGTCTCGAGCACAGCGGACACAAGATGTTGCGCTGTATGCATGCTCATCTACAGGACATGTCAGACGTTGATTCTAATGAACGGACTGAGAGCACTCACATGGTCGAGGCGACGCTTGAATCCGTCCTCACCAAGCGCAAGGCGGACCTTCTTGCCAATCGCGAACACAGGTGGTACGTCCTCCAGCCCCTCAGTGATGTTCACGTAGTGCACCGCAACTCCTCCATGACGCTTCACGAGCTCGACATCCCAAACACTGCCGTCCTCCGCGGTGACCACGCCGATATCGTGCGCCTGGCCTCCACCCTCCGGAAAGAGGACAGTGTCGTGAAGTATAAGCTGCACATACGGCTTGCTCAGAGTCGGAGGCGCAGACGCCTTCGCCTGCTTCGTATGCGACTTCTTCGAGCCTGAGCTCTTCACTGGCTCGGGCTTCAAGAACGCGCTCGACACAATCGTCGTATCTAAGTCGCGAGCAAGTGGATCACCTTGAGGAAGCGAGCTCAGCCAGTATCTGGTGCGAAGCAGAACAAGACACACGTTGGCAAGTCAAGATACCCACAGGGATCGTCACATCGGTTTCAGATGGGATGGTGAGCGTCTTGGAGACGATGCGATGATAGTCCGCAGGAGTGCTCGGTGGAAGGTACTCTGGTAGCGGTACAGGTGTCTGGAGAACGGTCGCTGCTGCCATGATCTGGAAGTATCGCTCGTGTGCAAGTCAATGGTGGTCTGGGCCAAACAGCGATGACGAGTCGTGATACAACTACCGCAGAGATGAGATAAGGCGAGTAGCTCATCTGCGTGTGCCTGTGGGTCCGTGTCCACACCTTCGGATGGCCGTCGGCCGTGACGGCCGGGTTCAACTCGGCCAATGTCCGTCAACGCATTCGAATTTGCGCCGTTCAAGTTGCTTCGCGCGTCCATGTCTTCTGCAATCCAGTACTCTACCAGCCATCGCGATGTCTCTCGCACGGCCATGCCGGTATACGCTACTGCTTTGTACCCCAACCCACTCGTCTCCGGGGTCGAGGTACAACTCACCAAAAGGATGCGGGGCCGTTATGAGCATGCCGCGGGTGATCGTTACGCCAAGAGCCATCCGGGGCGTCCGGACCGATTGTCTCGATCGCAACTTCTCCGTGTTTCCGCCACAACAGCGCGGGTCGAGATGTTCCCCCGCTGCCAATGTGCAAATGCTCCCTGGTCCCCTCGACGTCGTATGATCGATCTCTGAATCCGTCAGAACTTCTTTGACATGTTTTCTACTTTGTGCCGATGTTACGAGAGGCTTGTCCTCCCTACGAGAATGATCTCCGGCCCTCACACTGTTGTGAAGAGTACCTTGCAGGGAATGTATCCAGCATCGGAGGGCTCACTCGTGGTCCCCGTCTCATGTGGCCCAAATATTAGGATCCGGGACGTCCATCTTCCACTCCCGTAACAACCAGCCTAATGCAGAACCTCGGAAAAAAAGCCTGTCGAGCGCTGAGCCAGTCCCTGGATTTCATGCCGTGGCCGGTTTGCAACCCCGCGCTATGGGGAAAGCGGAACCGATGACGGATGCGGGCTGAAATGTTCAGACCTATCCGCCCCTTCTCCGCCAAGACTTGTCCGTATGTACCTGACCATCCGGCGCCCCGCCTTTTTAACGCGGGGCCCAACGCGGGGGACAGGACGCGCTCCTTTGGCCCCGGACGCTCACCCAGCTTCATACCTTTCTCGTCTTTTGGCGTCGTGCTTCCCATTCATCCACGTACCATACGCACACGCTACGAACCATGTCGGACGTCAAGGACTTACACCGCACAGATAGCAAGGACGTCGAGATCGCTGACGAGCATGACGAGTATCGCGCTCATGGTGTCAACCGCGTCGATCTTGACGCCGAGTTCGGCGGGCACGAAAACAGGATGAAGATCCAAAAGCGACTTTTGCGGAAAGTCGACATGCGGATGTTCGTGCTCGTCGTCATTTACATTCTCAACTACGTGCGTTTTCTCCGCTCAATGCACTTGATCGACGTCATTGACCATCCGCGCGTGTAGATCGACCGTAACAATGCATCGGCGGCCAAGTTGAAGGGTTTCGAGAGGGACTTGAACCTCTCGCAGCAGGAGTTCGATACCCTGTTGTCGATTCTCTACGTCGGATACATCTTGATGCAGATCCCATCGTACGTGCCATGTCGTACTTGCATCCGACCTTGCGCCGGAGCTAACGATCGCGCAGAAACATGTTGTTGAACCGCATCGGAAAGCCTTCGCTGCACATCCCTATCTGCATTATCATCTGGGGAATGATATCTACGTTGACTGGTATGCCTGACAGTTGATCTGTGCTGGATTGAAGTATTGAGTGAATGGCAGGTGTCACGAAGGGATTCGTCGGCGCTCTGCTCACCCGGTTCTTCCTCGGTGCGTTGACATGACGCCTGTGCCTGCGCCACCTCCGGATTACGAGCTGACAGTGACATTGTGCAGGGTTCGTCGAGGCGGCGTTCTTCCCCGGTGCCCTGTTCTTGCTGAGCAAGTGGTACACGCGTGAGGAGCTCGGTTTGAGGACCACCATCCTTGCGTGCGTGACTGTATGCACCTACTACAAGTTCTCGAGCTGATAATGAATGGCCTTACAGTTGCGGTAACCTCATCTCAAACGCCTTCGGTTCACTCATCGCATCTGGAATCCTCTCTAACATGGACGGCGTACTTGGCCATGCCGCATGGCGCTGGGTAAGTTTCATTCTGCGACGCGAAGAAATACCGCGCTAATATCGAACTCAAATCAGCTGTTCTACATCGAGGGCGCCATCACCATGTTCGTCGGCCTCGTTGCCATCTTCATCCTCCCCGACTTCCCTCAGACCTCCCGCCGCTTCTTGACTGAAGACGAGCAGCGCTTGGCCGTCCTGCGCATGGAGAACGATGTCGGCGAGACACGCGAGGAGGACGAGGTTTCGCAGATGGCCGGTCTTCGTCTTGCCTTTGCCGACTGGCGCGTATACTTCTTGGCCCTCGCGCTCACGAGCATGGTCATCGGCTTATCCTTCAACGCCTTCTTCCCGACTCTCACCGCAACACTCGGATACAACAGCACCAACACGCTTCTGCTGTGCGCTCCGCCATGGGTCTTCTCCACCATTGTCGCCTTCATCGTCAACCGTCACGCTGACAGGGTCCGCGAGAGGTGCTTCCACATCGTCGTACCGCTCTGCTTCGGTATCGTCGGGTTCATCATCGCTATGAGCACGATGAAGACCGCCCCGCGCTATGTTGCGCTGTTCTTGATGGCACAGTCCTACGCAGGATTCATTGGCTTCCTCGCATGGGTATCCAACTCTCTACCCACGCCTCCGGCTAAGCGTGCTGTTGCGCTTGCGTACATCAACGCTTTCAGTCAGCTCGGTAACGTCGCGGGCTCGTACGTCTGGCCCAAGGAGTGGGGCTTCTCGTACCGCAAGAGTTACTCGATCTGTATTGCGACGTTTGCGCTTACGATTGTGATGTGCCTTGTGTTCAGGCAGGTGTTGGCGTGGCAGAACAGGCAGATTGAGAAGAAGGAGCAGGAGGAGGGGAAGAAGCCTGGGTTCCGCTACATTCTGTAGTCGTCTTCTGTTTGGATTGTCACTGCAATGCTTGTAATGTGCTTACGCTCATGCTATCACTCACGATACGATATACCTGTACTTGTCTTCAATGTACTTTCATAGCTTTCTCAATCACATCCTGATATATCTGCGCTGGGGGATATTCTGGTTGCCCGCAGTTGGCTCTGAAAATACACTAGTGGGACACCCCCATGGACCTATGGAGCGCAGTTACGCATCGGTCAACAGCGACAGCGGATCGCATCAACGGTCTTGCTCAGCCTCTGGAAGTACCTGTTTTCGTCATACGCGCGGACTTTATAGTGGGATTTGCGGAAGCATCGCCATGGTCGCGCTGCAACCTCGGTGTCTCAGGCGTGTGCAGTGTTATTCACAGAGCATACACGGCTAGTAGCAACCAAGTTTAGACATGAGAAGTGAGAGAAAGAGCAAGACGAAGGGCAGTGTGAAACGGGATGAGATGGACGGGTCGGCCGGATGAGGCCGCGGCGCTGACGGCTGTAACCAGACGTTCACGCGAGAAGGCGATTCTCACTTCCTGCCATCGACCTCCACCTCGCCCTCGCCGGTCCTCATGGCGGCCTCCACCTCCTCGTCGTCGGGCGACCTGCGCGAGCTCGTGACCTCCCAGGGCGCCGCGACCGTCTACCCGTCCGACGATGCCATCCTGGCGACCCTCCACCAGCGCTTCCGCGCAGACCTTCCTTATTCGCGCATCGGCTCCCAGCACTTGGTCGTCGTCAACCCGCAGAAGAATATGGCGAACACCAACGACGCCTCGGCCCACGAGTACGAGGAACGGTGTTACAAGGACACCACCCTCGCCGTCGCAGGCGCCGCGCAGCCGCCATTACCGCCGCACGCTTACGAGCTTGCCGCCCAGGTCTACCTTCTCATGCGCAGGAGAAGCGAGAGCCAGGCCGTCGTCTTTCGGTAAGTGCCGAGTCTACATCTGTACAATATATTCTGACGAAGTATGCAGGGGAATCACCGGCTCTGGCAAGTCGTACAACCGTGATCTGCTCGTCAACCAGGTCTTGCGGTTAAGCGCACACTCGAAACGAGAAGCCAGACTGGCGGACCAGGTCCGCGCACTCGGTCCGCTGCTCGACTCGTTCGGCAACGCAAAGACGCTGTTGAGCGCCAACGCTTCCAGGCATGGGCGGTACACCGAGCTGCACTTCAACGACCGCGGCCGCATCACCGGCGCTCAGATTCTCACATACGGCCTCGACAAGTCCCGTCTCACACGCCTCCATCACGAGGAGCGCACTTTCCACGTCTTTTACCAGTTGCTGGCCGGCGCTACTCCCCAAGAACGAGACCAGTTCAATCTGGAGGATCCGTCTGACTATGCTCTCCTCGCGTCTTCTGGTTGTTACCGCTTGCCGTCTGGTCCGTTCAGCGACGACGCGATGGCGATGGACGGCCTGCGTGATTCTATGCGCACGCTCGGCTTCAAGCCGAAGCACATCAACTCGATCTTTGGCCTTCTTGTCGCGATCCTCCAGCTTGGCAACGTCCAGTTCTGGGAGAGCGACGGCAAGGATGTCTCCGCCTACGTCGCGAACATGCCTCTGGTTGAGCAGGTGCGGTGTCTTTATATTATTGCGTCATCGGGCGAACCTGATTATTTCTCAGATCGCTCGGCTATTGGGTGTCGGTGCAGAGGATCTCGCGCAGGTACTTACGAATAAGACGAGCTATGTTCGCAAGGAGCTCTACAGCGTCATGATGAACGTCGAACAGAGCCAGGCTCAGCGCACCCAGTTCATGCGCGATACCTACGCCATGCTCTTTGCCTTCGTTGTCGAGACCGCCAACCACCGTATTGCGCCCGGTCCTGAGGACCAGCTTCCGCATACGCAGATCGTCTTGCTTGACCAGCCTGGCTTCCAGTCCAAGGGTCCCGTCGGCACCAGCTCGGCCATGTTCGGCGCAACACCGCTCGTATCAGCACACGGCTTGAACGGCTTCGACGAGTTCTGTATCAATTTTGCGGATGAGCTTCTGCATTCGTATGTCGTTCGCGCGACGTTCGAGGACAGCGTGGGCTACAACTCGATCGTGACGGGTGATGGCGTGGCGTTACCGGCCATCACGACCATGGATAATTCTGGAGCTGTCGAACTGCTGCGCGGCGCTCAGCTTAGTGAGCGTGCACACAAGAAGTCTGGCGGCATGCTCGGAGTGTTCGGCAAGGCGTGCACGACGCACAAGTCGGGCAAGTCTTCTGAGAAGAAAGACGAGGATCTCCTGCAGGACCTCGTTGCGCGGTTCGGTGTACACGCGTCCTTCGTTACGGCTCCCAGCGTCAATACTTTCGAGGGCAACAACAGCTTTGGCGTGAACCACTATGCTGGGCCATGCAACTACGACGTGGCCGGTTTCGTCGAGAAGGACACGGACCTGCTCGACTCCGCGTTTGTCTCGCTCATGCGTAGCAGCTCTGATCCCTTCGTCGCGAAGCTGTTCGCCGGGCCATCCTTAGCTGCGGAGCGGCACTCGAAGGACGAGAGCATCATCGTGCAGGCTCAGGTCTCCTCACGCCCACTGCGCTCACCCACGCCTATTCCGCTTGCCGATGGCACTATCCCGGAGGAACACCCACGGCTCGACCCTGCGAAGATTTACCCTGTCACGACGCAACTCAACTATGCTATCTCCGAGGTCGTCGCGTCGCTCGACCGTGCACATCTTTGGACTGTATCTGCTATTCGACCGAACGACTCCGGCTCTGCAAATAGCTTCGACCGCAGGCGTGTCAAGGCGCAGATCAGGTCCTTGTTGCTGCGGGATATTGTCTCGCGGCGTTCACACGGCGACTTCACGGTCGACTACGAGCAGACGGCGTTCTGCGATCGCTATGTGCCGACGATGGGCGGGAGCGAGGAGGAGCGTGTGCGGCAATGCGCACATGCGAACGGCTGGAAGGAGGGCGTCGACTACGCGCTCGGTCACCGGTTGATCTTCCTCACATACGGCGCATGGAAGATGGTCGAGGACGGTCTTCGTGCGGTTGAGAAGGCCGCTCGCGGCGGTCAACTCGATGACGAGGCCAGCGCCTATGCTCCCGATGACCAGTCTGAGTACTCGCATCGCGATCCGTTCAACAACCCGGTGTCGCAGGAGAGCACGGACAACCTCATGGCGCGCTCAATGGAGCCTGCGGGCTACGCCGAGGGCGGACTGCTCACGCCCGGCATGACCGCGAACCCCTTCCGCAACGAGCAAGACAGCGGTTGGGATTCGCACGACGAGTACGATAAGAAGGAGATCCCCGGAGACGAGGGCGTGCCGGGTTTGACGGGCGAGAAGGCAGGGATGGTCGTGAACAACGCGCCGAATGCTGTCGAGGAGGTTCCGACAAGCCGCACGCGCCGATGGTGGCTCTACCTCGTCTGGGCGACGACGTGGTGGATCCCGACGTTCTGCCTGACGCACGTCGGGCGGATGAAGCGGCCTGATATCCGGCTGGCGTGGAGAGAGAAGATCACGATCTTCTGGCTTATCTTCCTCTTCAACGCTATGGTCATCTTCTACATCGTCGGCTTGTCGCGCTTGTTGTGCCCGGACCAGGATAAGGCTTGGAACTTGTCGGAGCTGGCGGGATTCACGTCCGATAACGCGTTCTATGTGGGCGTTGCAGGCAAAGTATACGATGTCTCCAACTTCGTGCAGGGCCAGCACTCCGATATCTCTGGCGAGAACAGTAACACGGACGATGTGCTCGAGGAGCTTGCGGGTCAGGACTTGACGAACTACTTCCCCGTTCCGCTCTCGCTCGGTTGCCCGGATCTCGTTACCGACACTTCGCTCGAGCTCAGCTACGCGAACTGGACTGCCGTCGAGCCCACCGCCGTACACACCTCTGGTGCTCTTGCGACCGACTCGAGCTCAAAGCTCGCACAGAAGGACTGGTACACCGCGCGCTTCCAACCGACGATCAAGGAGTTCTACAAGGGTACGCTCGTATACGACAAGAGCGCACTGGAGTCCGGCGCGAGCGACGACGACTCGAAGAAGTACTGGGCCTTCATCAACAACAAGGTGTACGACCTCACAGATTACGTCTACACCGTCAACTACCAGACGAACAACGACAAGTACCAGTTCTTGGACGAGAGCATCTCGGATCTGTTCCAGCAGCGCTCGGGGCAGGATATCACGGACGCGTTCAAGACGGCGATGGGCAAGCTCGATAGCGATACGCAGAGCAAGAATATGGCGTGCTTGAATAACGTGTTTTATCGCGGCGAGTCGGATTTCAGGAAGACGGCGAGGTGCCAGGCTGCGCCTATCATCATTCTTGTGTTCTCGATTATCTTGACGTCGTCTATCTTCATCAAGTGTACGTTGACCAGCTTCTCTTGTGTGCATGGTGGCTGACGGATGTTTGTAGTCTTGGCTGCGCTCCAGCTCTCGGGCAAGCGCCAGCCCGAGCTCCAGGACAAGTTCGTTATCTGCCAAGTCCCGTGCTACACTGAAGGCGAGGACTCTCTCCGCCGCACGATCGACTCGCTCGCCAACCTGCACTACGACGACAAGCGCAAGCTCATCCTCATCATCTGCGACGGCAACATCATCGGATCCGGCAACGACCGCACCACCCCCCGCATCGTGCTCGATATTCTCGGCGTGGACCCCAAACTCGACCCCGAGCCGCTGCTGTTCAAGTCCGTCGGCGAAGGCTCGAAGGCGCTCAACTACGGCAAGATCTACTCGGGATTGTACGAGTTCCAGGGACACGTTGTGCCGTATATGGTCGTCGTCAAGGTTGGCAAGCCCACGGAGCGTTCGAAGCCGGGTAATCGTGGCAAGCGTGATTCGCAGGTGCTGGTCATGCAGTACTTGAACCGCGTGCATTTCGATAGCCCGATGTGTCCGCTTGAGCTGGAGATTTATCATCAAATGAGGAATGTTATTGGGATTGACCCCGCTTTCTATGAGTATATCTTTACGGTGGACGCTGATACGGTATGTCTTGACTTCCGGTTTGTATTGAGGGGATTGATGCTGACGTGTGCTGTGTAGACGGTGCATCCTGATGGTCTCAACCGGCTTGTGGCCAGTGCGGCGGACGATTCAAAGATTATCGGCATCTGCGGCGAGACGCGTCTGGAGAACGAGGACGATTCGTGGTGGACGATGATCCAGGTCTACGAGTACTACATCTCGCACCACCTTTCCAAGGCCTTCGAATCGCTCTTCGGCTCCGTCACTTGCTTGCCCGGCTGTTTCTCGCTTTACCGTATCCGTACGGCGGACAAGGGTCGCCCGATCATCATCTCGAACCGTGTTATCGACGAGTACGCCGAGCCGCTCGTGGACACGCTACACAAGAAGAACTTGTTCTCGCTCGGAGAGGATCGGTTCTTGACGACGTTGTTGCTCAAGCATTTCCCGACGTTCAAGACCAAGTTCAGCCCTGACGCTCAGGCGCGTACCGTTGCGCCTGAGAGTTACCGTGTGCTGTTGTCCCAGCGTCGTCGTTGGATCAACTCGACGGTGCACAATCTGGCTGAGCTCATCTTGTTGCCTGAGCTGTTCGGCTTCTGCTGCTTCTCTATGCGGTTCTTTGTGTTTGTCGACTTGCTCGGCACGGTGGTATGTGGTCTATATGCGATGTGAGTTGGCAGTGTGCTGACGCAACGACCATAGATCTTGCCTTCGACGGTCGTCTACCTCATATACCTCATCGTCGTCGTATCCCTTGGCGACGCGGCTTTCCCGCTCATCTCCATCATCCTCATCGCGGCGACATACGGTCTACAGGCGCTCATCTTCATCATCAAGCGCGAGTTCATGCTCGTTGGATGGATGGTCGTTTATATCCTGTCGTACCCGGTGTACTCCTTCCTCTTGCCCGTGTACTCGTTCTGGCGCATGGACGACTTCGGTTGGGGTAACACTCGTCTCGTCATCGGTGAGGGTAACAACAAGAAGGTTATTATCAATGAGGACGAGAAGTTCGATGACTCGATGATCCCGCTCAAGAAGTTCAGCGGTACGTGTTTCTGGTTGATGCCAACACCGGAATGGGTTGCTGATGTATAATGTTAATGTAGAATACGAGGCCGAAGCGTGGGAGACAGGCTCGCTCGCGCCAACCCAGAGGACCGGCGTGTCCAAGCCGCCCATCCCTGGTTCACGTCCCGAATCACCGCACTCCTACTCTGGCGACTACTACCGTGACACGAACGCGATGAACAAGAGCGCCTCACGCAGCCAGATCTCGCACTCGAACCAGAGCATGCATCAACAACCCGCACCAGCGATGTCGCAGTACGGCGCACCCGGCTTCCCTGCGCTCCCGATGATGCCGTTCCAGCACTCGGGTTACGCGGGCTCGGCGCACGGGTCGGAATACGGCGGTATGGCCCCTCCGATGCAGATGCCCATGCAGATGCAAGGTACGGGCAGCATGTACGGAATGATGCCGCCCGGCGCGATGATGGGTGGCTTCGCCCCGCCTATGTTCCCTGGCGCGAGCAATATGAGCGCTACGGGCTCCATGGGTGGACCGTTCCAGGGCGCGGCTGCGGGTCACAGGCCGATGAGCACGTTCTCGTTCGCGACGAATGTCAATCCGTTCGCGGCGCCGAGTGAGAGCGAGAACCCGACGGATGAGGAGCTCGTGCAGGCGTTAAGGAATTACCTCAGCACGCAAGATTTGATGACTGTCACGAAAAAGTAAGTCATTACTGTATTGCTTCAGGTTGAGCAGGGAACTGATGTGTATTACAGGACGACCCGCGAGGCCATCATGGCGCGCTTCCCGAAGGCGGATCTCGCATCGAGGAAGGCGTTCTTGAATGAGTCGATCGACAAGATCCTGTCTGAGGCGTAGACAGGCTGTATATTACACGCCCTCATGCATTGCATTCGTTCGCTATCGCGCTCGCTCTCATCCATCACTCTGCATATGCCACCTTTACCGTACTCGTACCCACGGACTTCTAGCGCGGACACGATGTTGCCCAATATAATCTGCCTCGCCCCACCCTCTCCGATCACCCGCAGCCTCATCACCCTCGCATCTACTCATACTCGTCATCGGCATCGCTCATACATACAAGGACCTCGTCTCTACGTGCAGTACTTTGTCGCTCTTTGCTTGCGTTCTCTGGTTCTGTCGCCGCGTCACGGACTTTGTTTACATGGACCTATCTTGAACCACTACCTCTCGAACGATCACCATCCTCTGAATCTTCTTATATCACTCAGTATATCATGCAGTTCTTTGTCGTGTCGGATGTCATAAGCGGACGACATAATTCATTCTTTGTCTTGGTTGTTTTGATATACTCGTATAGATGGTTTTCTGGCTTCGGTTTGCTCGTTATGATGCTTACTGCAAAGTACTAGTGGTGATTCCTGACCCTATTCCAAGGCGTTCCGCGCCAGTATCGTTATTGCGTACGAGTAAGTACGTGTCGGTCGAGCTCATGCTGTGTACTTGGGGATCGTGATCGAAGAGATCGTCCAGGTCTTGCCGCCGTCAGAGGTCTCCATGTCGCTCGCGACGACGCCGGAGCCCTTTCCGAGCGTGTTCTTGAAGTTGGGGTCGGCCTCGGAGAGGTAGATCGTGATGTCGTAGTAGTGTTGCACATCTCCCGTACCGCGGCTGTTTGATGTGTAATGAGATGATCGGGTTGGCAGAACGCAAGGCATAACGAGGGACGTACCAGTTCTGTTGGCATTCGGTACCGGTACCCCAGCCGCCGTTGAGAAGTGGTCCGTCGTCTGCCAAGGCGTTGAATATACGAACGTAGAGTATCAGAATAGAATAATGGCGCACAAGTGGTCACAGTCGAGACGACCTTGCCACCGACCTCGACGGTCTGGGTCCATGTGTTGCCGCTCAGCTGGAAGAGTTGCATCAGCGGATCTCAGATCGGATAATGAAGGGACGTGAACATACCGAGTAGTCGACGTAGACTGGGGTACTACCATCGATGGCGACTACAGGGCCGTTGAGTTGCGTTGTTTGACCGTCAACGATCCTGGGAGCGGGCGTCAGTAAGCTACCTTCAAGTGAAGATGGACTCAAGATACTCACCCGAAGTAGCTCGCGCCGACACACCACTGAGAGTTAGCAGCCCCGCACGCGGCTTCCATGTTAGAGTACTGGTTGGTGCCAGCCTGGATGAGGCCGCTCGTTGCGTTGCTGATGCCGACCCACAGGAAGAGAGCGCTACGAAAGGCAGAACAGTTAGTGATATGTGCGAAAGGGAGATGATGGACACATACTCTTCAGGAGGGCTGGGAGGGGTTCCAGACGTGAAGGTGTATGTGGTGCCGATGACGGCGCCTGACGTCGGACCAAGTGAAAAGGCCGGACCCCAAGTGTCGGCGAGGGCACCGCCTAGGAAAGGTGCGAGAGTAGCGAAAGTGGCGAGGATCTTGCCCATTGTTACTTGCCGAACAGTAAGTCAAGGTGTCACTGAGATGATCAGGAACCGCTCTTATATACCCCGCGGCGACGCTTGCGGAGTACGTGCCCGCAACCTAGACCTCGTACGCCGCATGGGTCATGCGAACGGTTGTCGTGACGGTCAAGGTGAAAAGTGGTCGTAAGGTACCGGGCCGGCGACGTATGTGCACTTCATTATGCACTATGAACTATATGGCCTTAGGCGCCTTAGAAACAGTCTGCTGAGAAAGCAGGTGACGGCAGAGATGCTCTGATACTCAAGAAAGCACAAGGTTGAGAAGTGATCTGCAGTACTTCAACTGCGTCACAGGCCAATACACAGCGCCCGACGATCTCCCTTCAGAGCTCAAACGTTGTTCTGACGGAGCAGGCTCGGATGCGGGAGTCGCATCGAAGGTGAACAAGGCAACCGTTGCGGGCCGCGGACCGTCGAGAGCATCGAGAGCGCGGCCTCGAGCAATGTTCGCGGTGATACAAAGAGACAGGCCCGTTCGAGAGCCGCAAGTGCCTCCTCGCTCTATTGGGAAGGCCGGTGAGGATATGAGGATACAATTGTCCTATACATCGGAGAGCTCTCCGCGCAAGCGCAGAAGACGACGCGGCGAGAACCTTAACGGCAAACTCTATGTCGAGCAGCACGCGGCCTCAACACACAGGCATACTCAGCCTACAGAAAGTCACAATGGTGCGCGTACTGTGTACAAGCTCGCGGTCCAATGATGGACGTTCGGTTCAAGCGTTTCAAGTGACATCACTCCACGCTTATCTAATCGCGGCAAGCTCCGCGCCCTCGAAAAGTTGCAGCGCCCTGCCTCAGGCGGCACAGGGCACCCACTAACAATCCGCGATCCTCCCTCCCTCCCTCCATCAACACCCCGCACAATGGCGCCCTCCGCATCGAAACAAAAGCGCCTCGCCGAAAAGGCCGCAAAGCAGGCCGCAAAAGGCGGCACCGACGCATCGAGCGCCACGCCCTCGGCCTCGGTCTCCAAGAACGGCAGTTCGGTCAACACGCCGCTCACGAGCCAGAGCGCGGCGACGAGCCAGGATGATCTGCTGTCTATGGCCAAACTCAACCTTGCTACGGACAGGTGCGTGGGCGTGGTCGGCTGCGATCTGAGAATATGAGATTAAATGGGTGAATTGCAGGAGCGCGGCGGGTGTGCTCGTTTCTGACCCCAAGGGCCGCGACATCAAGATCGACTCGTACACGCTCTCCTTCCACGGCCGTCTCCTGATCGAGAACGCCGAGCTCTCGCTGAACTACGGCCAGCGGTACGGTCTGCTCGGCCAGAACGGATCCGGAAAGGTGCGTTGTGGCGATCTTTTGATCACGTCCGCCTCTTTTCCTGATTGGATGTCGCATTGCCCGTTCGCAGTCTACGCTATTGCAATCCATCGCCGAGCAGGATATCCAGCTCCCGGAGCACATCGACGTCTACATTGTCCGTGGCGAGGCCGAGCCCTCAGACGTCAATGCGCTCGACTTCATCGTCGCATCCGCAAAAGCCAAAGTCGCCAAGCTCGAAGCGCGTCTCGAGGAGCTCTCCATCGCAGATGAGGTAGACGAGATCGCGCTCGAACAGGTCACCGAGGAGCTCGAGGAGATGGACCCCGCGACATTCGAAGCCAAAGCCGGCTCTATCCTCCACGGTCTCGGATTCTCCCAGCAGATGATGGCCAAGCCCACGAAGGACATGTCCGGTGGATGGCGTATGCGTGTCGCGCTCGCCCGCGCACTGTTCATCAAGCCGCACTTGCTCATCCTCGACGAGCCGACGAACCATCTCGATCTCGGAGCCGTCGTCTGGCTTGAGGCGTACTTGTCGACGTACAACCACATCTTGATCCTTACGAGTCACTCGCAGGATTTCATGGACAGCGTGTGCACGAACATCATGGACCTTACGATGAAGAAGAAGTTGATCTACTACGGTGGTAACTACACGACGTACGTCAGGACGAAGCAGGAGAACGAGGTCAACCAGATGAAGGCGTACAACAAGCAGCAGGAGGAGATTGCGCACATCAAGAAGTACGTCTTTCCCCCTTCCTTCCCCGCTGTCTTCCAACGCTCATCACTCTTCATAGGTTCATTGCTTCTGCCGGTACATACGCCAACCTCGTCAAGCAGGCAAAGTCGAAGCAGAAGATTATCGACAAGATGGAGGCTGCCGGTCTGATCGAGAAGATCGAGGTCCCGCGCCCGCTCAACTTCAGGTTCGAGGACATCCGCAAGCTGCCGCCGCCTATCATCGCGTTCGACCAGGTTGCGTTCTCTTACTCAGGTAAGAAGGAGGACTACCTGTACCAGAACTTGTCGTTCGGTATCGAGTAAGTACTACTCACCACCTGAGAAAACCGAGAGGGCTGCTGATGTGTGTTACAGCATGGACTCCCGCATCGCCATCCTCGGCGCCAACGGAGCAGGCAAATCGACTCTTCTGAACCTCATCACGGGCGTCTTACAACCCGTCGAGGGCACGATCTCCAAGCACGCCTCCCTCAAGCTCGCAAAGTACTCGCAGCACTCCGCGGACCAGCTCCCGTACGAGAAGTCGCCGCTCGAGTACTTCCAGTCGCTCTTCCACGAGAAGTACCCGGAGAAGGACACGCAGGCGTGGAGGGCGCAGCTCGGTCGGTTCGGTTTGAGCGGGGCGCATCAGACTAGTCCGATCAAGCAGTTGTCGGATGGGTTGAGGAACCGGTATGCCTTCTTACCTATTCCTTGGATCTACACGGCGTACTGATGCTCGTTTCAGTGTCGTCTTCTCGCAACTCTCAATGGAACACCCGCACATCCTCCTGCTCGACGAGCCGACGAACCACTTAGACATGGAATCGATCGACGCGCTCGCGCGCGCCATCAAAGACTTCGAGGGCGGCGTCGTCATCGTCTCGCACGACTTCCGGCTCATCTCGCAGGTCGGCGACGAGCTGTGGGAGGTCGCGGACAAGCGGATACGGAACTTGACGAAGGAGGATATCAGCATCGTGCAGTATAAGAAGAGGCTGGCGCAGGCGAGTATGGCGGCGATTGAGAAGGCGAAGTTGGTTAGCAAGTCGAGCAAGTAGAGGGGGGAGGAGGTGTAGTTTTAGATTGTATCGGTATCATGCATGTGTACTTTGTACATCCACTGTATCATGTTTCCGCGCGGTTTCGATGCTGTGCTAGACGCCGTGTGTGGACCCATGGCAGTATCGCTTGTGTATGTAGCATCTTCACGCAGTCACGTTCATCCAATAGACTCGTATCCTTCTACTCGATGCGATTAGTGATATGTGGCAGGACGTGGTGACGAGCCTGAATATCAATCAAACGATGTGCAAACGGCCTACATCGCGGTGATGAGCGTGATGTCACCTGCCCGAGCTTGCCTCGCTCGCCCATCAGAGCCTCCCAGGCAGAGCTATTGCCAAATTGGCGGCATGTTGCCTGGTCTTGACCCGGCGGCAGCTACTTCACACGACGCTACAGAGTGCGCGATCTTCCTTTGTTCTTATTTCCAACTACGTCTTCCAACCTCCCAACGGCCCCCTTCCAATTATCCGCTCGCTCGTTCGACTGGTTGTCTCCTATTCCACTGGCAGCCTTTGAACCCACCTACCTTCTTATGGCGCCCATGATCTTGTAGACTTACGTGGGCTCGCTTGTATCAGCTCAACGTCCACTATCGACGTATCCGACCATCAGCAAACGGGTTTGACACGAGAATGGCGATCCTGTGGACTGACTGTGAGCCCTCATCCCCCCTTCATTATCACGAGTATAGCATACTTAACTTATCATCTCGCAGGCGTTAGCCGTTGCGTTGTGAGTACACTCTTCGTCCACAGTGCGTGTCCACACTCACCTCTGGTCCAGTATTGACGCGGAGGCTCTCTGGTTCGCGCCTCACATCGTGTCGAGCTCGTATGCATCCCATAGCCTACTACTCTCCGCCACGTCCGCTATCGCAGGCGTAGTACTCGCGTCAGGGCTTCTCCTGTACCATACCCGAAGAGAACTTGGATATAAGGTATGCTCACTATGCATATATTCATATGCGGGCCAGCTCACGTCCCTCCAGGTCGCTGCGCTCAATGATCAGACGAACATGAACACCTCCTCACAGGCCCTACTCCTCAATCTACCGTCGTACCTCACTCTCGTCTCGCTCGTTGGGCTGGCCTCGGCTGTGGCGATCACGGCTTGGTTCGCGGCACCGAGAGTGTTCTTTGGCGTCTCGGCCGTTACATTGGGATTGGCGGGAGTTCGATATATCGTTGGAATTGGGACTGCGGTGGCAAGATTGGCTCATGATCTGCGTGCGCGGAGTCGTGCTATGCTCTGTATGGACTCGGCTGTGCTCCTGGGGTGAAGAGTCGTCGAATCCCGTCGCGGGATGATGGCGGTGCATCGGAGTACTTTTCGGTTCAGGATTCCCTGTAATTTGTCGCCTGTCCCCCCTGTATCAAAAACCACTACCATACTCACGTATACTCTCCGTAGTATCTGTATAATGCTTACATTCATGTTCAGTGCCATCGTCCTCGGTACCGTGATTCCAGTACTCTACCTCATACTGTACATTGATCCCATCCCGTCTGACAACCACTTGCGTCTGGGCTCGGATCTGACGGCGAGCTTGACACCGACGCAGGCAGTTCACTTTCATATCGTAACCAACATTCATTGCATCAAAAACATATAGACAACGTATAGCAAACCTCACGGCGCAATAAAACGTACTCGAATTCGGGGTCGATCAAATCACGGTCAAACCAAGAAACAAGAACGAAATATAATCAGCGGTCGATTCAATGTCTGCAGGCATTTTATGTGCATTTTTTTCGAAGGTGTCGTGCAGGGGAGTTGGACGTGGGGAGGGGGCATATGTATAGATGAAGCGTGATTCGAGTCAGTCATTTGCGTACGGAACGGAGGAGGATGGAATGAGGTGGGTACTTGCTGGGATTGGTTGATTGTTGTTGGGGTTGTGTCTTGCTGGGGAACTGTGGTTGTGGTTGTGGTTGTGTGTGGATAACGGCGGAAGGGGATTGCGGGAGAATATACTGCAATGAGGACCAGGATGGGGAATGGAGGGGGGACTAAACCAAAACAGAAAGCATCGAGCAAGATTGCGTTTGGATTCGAGTCGGGAAACGAAGAGCGAGGAAGTGATACACATCAGGCCGAGGAGGACAGGGGTCGGTGTTGGAGCGGGACAGGGGGCGTGTTTCGTGAGGAATGATGTGGGTGGGAGCGAGAAGGTGATGCGTGCGAATAACGAGCGAAAGAGGACTGATCGGGCGAACAATGGGGGCCCTTTTGTCCGCCGAGATCGGCATTGGTGGTTGCGGTTGGAGTACGTGCCGGCGGTGGCTCGCGCGTGTTACAGATCGATATCCATGGGCACGCCGGCGTTGGGCGTAACGAGGCGCGGCGATCGCCTGAGCGCGGCGCCCGGCCCATCGTCCTTCGCACTGGCCTTGCCGCTCTTGCTAGCGGGCTTGCCAGAGCCCTCGCCACTCTTCCTCGCCTTCCTAGTCGGCCTCAAGTTCTCCTTATTCTCCCCGTCCGGCTCGCGCGACGAACCTCGCGACGAGGGCGGCTTAACGGACGCACGCTGACGGGATACTTCGACGTGCGTATCGAACGGGATGTCGAAGCCTGGGTGGCTGGGTGATGAGGCGCGGTGTGGCGTCGGCAGCTCGCGCGGGACGAGGAGGGGTGAATTGGAAGGAGTGGGTTCGCGCGAGAGCGGTGCTGTTGAGCCTTTGCTGCTCGGCGGCCGCGAGCGGCGCGTCGAGCCGGATGGTATGCGCGCTGCCAGCCGCGGCGAGGTCCTGGTCCGCGTGGGCTCTGCGGCGACGTTCTCCCCGCCACTGGACGCGGGCGCAGGCGACGCTCTCGACGCCGAAGGAGTGGGCATCCCAAAGTCGAGTTTCCTCGCCACACCCTCGCTTCTCAAAGACGACGGCACAGACGTCTGCGCGCCAAAGTCGACGAGCGGGCTCCGTACGCGCGCAGACGGAAACGCGAGGCCGCCCTGGGCGAGCATGCGCCGTTTGGCCGGGGAAATAATGGTGGAGCCTGGGGAGAGCGGGCGTTTCTGTGGCGGAGCGCGGGGGTTGTCGTCGACGAAGCGGTCGAGGGGGAGGTCTACGAGGGGCTCGCGGGCGGGCATGGTGTGGTGGTGGACGTCCGACGCGAAGATGCGCCTCCACGCCCATTGACGCGACATTACTCTTTATATTCCCACGCGGTCACGGGCTCGCGTCCGACCGCAAACCACACTCCCCGATTCTGCTTTGTGCGTTCATCAAGGCTTTTGCCATGGCCCTGGATTATGCTTCTATAGACGTCTCTAGGTACATCTCGCGTAACTGTATAGTACCATTACTCATATCGTTCCCCGCAGATGGCGGCACTTGCCACCGCCGCCCGGCTGGCTCGGCGTGTCCAATGTTAGCGCAGCAGTCCCCTTCATGACCCATTCTTGTCTCCTTATAAAACATTCCTAGGCCAAAAGCGTCTCAACAAAGGCCGTAACCGAAAAGGCCAAAGCCTACGAAACGCTGAAAGCGAGCCGCGCATGGGACTTTGCCATCTCGCCCGCGAAACAGCTGCCCATGCAGTTCTTCATGCTGTACATGTCCGGAGGAGGCGTCCAGATCTTCAGCATGGGTATCGTCGCTATGTTGCTGTTCTCGCCGTTCAAGGCGCTCGCGGGCATCAACGCCGGTGCGTCATCTCTCATCTCGGTGCGAGCCGCGTGTTCTCACATTATATTGACCCATCCTCTCTTGCTTTGTTCTCTTTATATAGCTTTTGCGCCGTTCGCACCGGGCACGCTCGGCGCATCATCACCACACGCGCATGACCTATCAACATTGGCATTACAGAAGATCGTGTATCTGGCTTGTAACGTCGCCACGCTGTTGCTGGGGCTGTGGAAGTGCCGACAGATGGGGCTGTTGCCGACGGGCTCAGGCGATTGGTTGGCTTTCGAGACGAGAGGGCTGGCGCCGGAGTTGTCGTTGTTGTAATAATAGATGGGTTTGGTTATTGATGGATGTACGCTATCAGAGGAATGGTATGTGTGAAGGCCGAGGTATGTATGGAGGGCTGCGAGCTTTTCGGGCGTCCTCCCGCTGTATGCCGCGCGAGCATGATCATCGCCTACAATTGTCGACGATTGCGTGCATGTTCAGGCTTCTGTGCGAGCACACTCTGGTACGCATGCAGCGCCGTGGCTGCCTTCTCGGCCTCTCGGCTCTCCTCCCGCTGCTCCCTGCAAGCTCCGAGGTAAACCATCACACATCAACTCGTCTTCCTCACCCGCGTCACAATCTTAACCTTCGTAACAGTCGTAATCGTACTCGTGGCCACAACCTCCTCGCCGACCCTCTCAACGCTCAACCTAACAGGCTCAAACCTCCACTTCTGACTAGCCCCACACGAGCGGTCCTGCAACAGCACCGGTGCACCCGGCTGCGCCGACCCCTTCTCAAGCTCAACATTCAGATTCGTTTTCGGCATGTATATGCTGCTCACGCAAATCGCCTTCAGCAGGAGCGCTGAGGGAGGAGGAAGGAGGAAGGGAGGGAGGAAGGGAGGGGGACGTACTGGAACACGCCGTTATCCTCGTCTATCCGGTCGAACTTCCAGTTGCGGGGCACTTTGGAGCCGACGAGTTTGGCGCCGCATTCGGCTGAGCCTTCGAAGTCGAGGAACTTGCCGGAGCCGATGCAGCGCAGTCTCCATGCGCCGCCCGAGTTTTTCTGCTGCTCGACGCGCCACTGCCGTATATCATCAACATCACACTCTCAACGACGCTGAGACCTCCACGGGGTTACCAACCTGCTCGTCGAACCCGCGTATCCCAGCGCCTACGATCGACCGTGCGTCCAGCGCCGACAAGCTGAGCACGCTCCCGCTCTCTTCATTCACGACATAATACGCCTGTCCCGACAACGGCTCCCATCTCACGGCCGTAGCCGTGAAGGTGCTCGACGTCGTAGTGGTGGTCGTGACGCTCGTGCCGCCCGCGGCATCGCGCGCTTTGACGGTGTTGGTGACGGGCGCGGGTGCGCTGTCGGAGTTGGAGGTGTAGTAGGAGTTTGATTCGAGGAGGGAGTCGACTGTTGTGGGGATGTGAGGCATTGTAGGGTTTGGGGTGGGAGAGGTGGGAGAGGGAGGAGGTGGAAGGGTGAGGGCGCTGGGCCAGAGAGGGTTGAGGTGTTGGTGGAATAGAGGTGGTGTTTGGTCTGGGGGGATTGTGAGGTTTAGGATGTGGGGCATAGGATTGTTGACTCTGTATGCGCTACAAACGCAGCCTTATGAGCTAGCGATCTGCATAACACGCTCGCGGACTCATGTATAGAGCATCGTAGCATTCGTATGGTACGTCAACACAACGCATTCTACTACATATCGCGAGTCCGAGCAAACACGCTCAGAACGATTGGCGGAAAGCGATGACTGATGGTGATGAGCCACACCATGACCATGACAGGCCGCCGCGGGGGCATTAGCGCGGCAACTCCCGCGGCAAGTGCGGCCGGGCGCGACTCTAAGCTAAGCACATCTCCCGCCCACTTTCCCCGCACCGCCCACGTCCGCCCTCTGCGCCATGTCGGACGACGTCGAGACGACCGCCGCGCCCGCGCTCCCGGCGTCGAAGCTGGGGGAGTACAAGGTCATAAAGGAGATCGCCGAGGGCACGTTCGGGAAAGTGAAGAGTACGTCTGAAGGCTGAAACTATTAGATGAGCGCTGTGAAAGCTTATTGGTGATGATTGTGTATCAGTGGGCATTCATACTGTGACCGGGCATACGGTCGCTATGAAGTACCTGTCCAAGCAGGTGATCAGCACTACGCGGACGAAGAACAGGGTGCAGCGCGAGGTCGAGTACATGCGCGCGTTGCGGCACCCGCACATTATCAAGCTGTACGTGATCATTCAACATCCCGCTTTAACCCACCCTCTAACGCTTTATGCAGATATGAAGTGATTTCGACGCCGACGGACATCATCATCGTGCTCGAATACGCCGGCGGGGAGCTCTTCAACTACATCGTCGCCAACGGGCGCATGCACGAGGCCCAGGCCCGGCGCTTCTTCCAGCAGATCATCTCCGGCGTCGACTACGCGCACAAGTGCAAGATCGTCCACCGCGACCTCAAGCCCGAGAACGTCCTCCTCGACGACGACCTCAACGTCAAGATCGCCGACTTTGGGCTCAGCAACGAGATCAAGGACGGCGATTTCCTCAAGACGAGCTGTGGGAGCCCGAATTATGCGGCGCCGGAGGTTATTAGGGGAGGCTTGTATACGGGCCCGGAGATCGATGTGTGGAGCTGTGGGGTTATTCTTTATGTGATGCTTTGTGGGAGGTTGCCGTTTGAGGACGAGGATGTGCATACGCTGTTCTCGAAGATCACTCGTACGTGCATTGTGTTGCTTGTTGTGACATGTCGTGCTGATTATGATATGCAGAGGGACTGTATCATATGCCGAGCTATCTCTCCTCGGACGCGCGCAACCTCATCAACAGCATGCTCGTCGTCGACCCCGTCAAGCGCATCACTATTCCCGACATCCTCAACCACCCGTTCTACACCACCGACCTCCCGCGCTACCTCCAACCTCTCCCGCCGCTCCCCGGTCCGGTTGTCGGCACTCTTTCATCACTCGTCGTGCCCGGCAAGACTATCGACTTTGAGATCATCGAGGGCCTTGGCAGGATAGAAGAGAGCGTCGTGGAGGAGTTGTCGGAGAAGCTGAAGGATGTGGATAAGGAGACTATCTGGGAGTGTTTGAGGAGGGACGACGGTGTGCAGGGCAACGCTGTCAAGGTTGCGTATCTGCTGCTTCGGGATAAGCAGAGGCTGGGACACGACTGTACGTTCTCTGCCTTTGCTTAGTAATGCCTTCACTAATGCCGAACGTCTATCAGTGGCGGCATTCGAAGAGGCAGAGCGTGACGCTCAACTAGCCGCACGAGACCCGCGCAACCTCCTCTCACCAAATGCACTCTCACCCTCCGGCAACGACATCGACGAGAACCCGTTCGAGAACGAGTTCAACGAGTACTACGACGACGAAGACGTCCCCACCGACCTCGACTTCAACGAGACCCTCCCGCCCACCGACCAGCCCCAACCCCCGCTCGACGTAGAAGTGAACAACTTCGCCGTCCTCAACTCCTCCCTCCCCGACGGCGAGCCGCACCACCTAGAGTCCTACGCCAACGCCAAGCGGACCTGGCCGACCGAGAAGGAGATGAAAAAGAAGCAGCACCGCACGAAGTGGCATTTCGGGATCAGGAGCCGGAGCCCGCCGATGGAGGTCATGCTCGAGATTTATAGGACGCTGAAGACGCTGGGCATGGAGTGGAAGGAGAAGAAGTATTTGGGCGGCCTTGGGACGACGCCGGCGCCGAATTTGGGGAGGAGGAAGAGCGGGCATGGGAAGGGCGTTGAGAGGGCTAGGGAGCATGATGGGGAGATGATCGATTTGAAGGCCGCTTCGTCGATCTACTTCGTCGAGACGAGGGCAAGGGCGGGAGACGTTGTGGTAAGCCTGTTCGTACTAGCTCCATCTCGTATGCGTGCTGATGGACGTATGCGCAGGTGCTGATGAACTTGCAACTCTACATGGTCGACTCGATCAACTACCTCGTCGACTTCCACCACCGACGAACATACCGCGCCTCAAAAGACCCCGACGCAGGCAAATTCGACCCAGAGAACCCCGAAGCGCTCTCCGAGCCGGACCCCTCGAACGAGGTCGTCTCGCCCTTCGTCTTCATGGACCTCGCGTGCCGACTGATCCTCGAGCTCGCAGGCGGAGGCGAGTAGACCCAACACCAGCCGACCGTTGGCGAGGCGAAACTGCGAGCCTTGGACCTGGACGACAGGAGCTGTCCCCTGGGTTCGGTCTGAGTCTCGACTAGTCTGTATTAGCGCGCGCTTTGTCTGTATCCCTTTCTTTCTTTCTTTTCTTCTTGGGTTTAGATATACCCCCCTCCTCCTCCTCTCTTGCCGATGCCTTCGCGGTAGATGCGAGGTGTGCGGCCTGACGTGTATCTATTATCGCACATGTATGTCTGCTCTGCTCTGATGCTATTCCACGCTGTTTACCTCCCGTCCACATCATGATCCTCTCCATTGTGCACCGTGAACGCTTGATCCAAACCCGTCAGCCCGCGTGCAGTTGTCTCGCCCGTTACGACGTCGAACGTCGCGAAGGGCGTCATCGCGCTTCGAGACTTCGACGCGCCGATGCAGCGCGACACATCCCGGGCTGCCATCGACGCCCACCTGAGTCAACCCCAGCGCTTTCCTGCCGCGAGCCGTTGTCAGGGTGGAGTCAGCTGGTGGTGTTGGCCGTTGACGGTTGACAGGAGAGGTCTCGATAAACGCACTCGCTGTCAGACAGGAGCCCCCGCCGCATTGTGTGTGCCGATGCACATGTCTCGCTGGTCGTCGCATCGGCGCTGACGATGACGATGAGGTATGCGTTGTGCGGCTGCTGTCGCTCGAAGTCGACCCCGTTCTGCGCCCGCTGTCTGGTCTGTGAGGTGTATATAAGGTGCGGGTCGAAACGACTGAGTTCTTCATCAACAGCTTTCAGCACTCCACCGCCCAACTCAACTCATCCAACCCAACCAACCAACTTCTTCTATTATCACAATGTCTTCTTCCATGCGCTCTGGTGACATCCGCTCGGCTGAGGACATCCCCACCAGCGAGATCAACCACGTTGCTGGCGGCCACAAGGTTCGCTTCTTCCTCTCTCCCGCTCTCTGACGCGTTGTTGACGCAAATTACTTTGACAGGCCAACCTCGCCAACGAGCGCACCTCGGAGGAGAGCAAGCAGCACTCCCGCGCTCAGCTCGACGAGCTCGAGTCGTCCGGCCGCGTGGGCGGCGCATCCCGCGAGCACACCGACAAGAAGAACACCAACAACGTCCTCGGCGGTTTCAAAGCCACCATCAACAGTATGTATCTTTCTTCTCCTCTACACTTCTCTTGCTGATGCAGTGATCGCTAGACCCCAACACCGGCGACGAGGCCAAGGAGAAGGCGCGCAACGTCCTCCGCGAGCACGACGCGATGGAGGACAAGTACGAGTAAATCTCGCTGCTCGCCTATGAGTATACCACCGCTCTTCTGATCTGACGCGCGGCTCGAAGAAGGCTTGATTGATGCGAGTGTGCACGCTTGTGTCGTCTGATTTTGAAGTTGCTTGTTCGCTATGCTGTCTCGGATTGCGGTCGATGATGGACTTGATCTTTTTGAATGAATATGTATTTGTATCGGAACATAATGTGCTTCGGCGGAATTTCTTCTGTGCATGCGTGAACCTGTTCAAGTGCCTGAATCGCGAGCAATAGCAGCCGCACAATCTCCTGCCCGCGACTGTATGTATAGATTTCACTTCCTCGCCACTCCCCTTGAAGTCCCCACGCCCTTCACTTACAATCGCGCCTCGCCACACCTGCCAGCCTTGCCCCTCGTGGCCGATGTTATTACTCAATAAGTTCAAGACTCGTCGTGAATGTAGCGTATCGTACGTATAGACACAACACCAGCAAGACGCTCAATTAGCACAACAACGTCAAATCCATCCTCAAAAACCGCCACCACACTCAGACGCCCCTACTAACAAGCGCCCTCGGCGCCTGGCTCCCCACAACAGCCCTCCAAAGCACCTTAAGCGCATGCGCAATCTCCCTCCTCCTCACCCCGCTCCGTCTCCACACCACCCTCACCACGCCCAGCACCGCCAATATAAACGACAGATCCAAGAACAACCTCCTCACGACGATAAGCGCGGGCGAGCGGCCCTCGCTGCTGAGGAGGTAGTCGAACGTTGAGCGCGCGGAACGGATTGTGGATAGGAGGAGGCGCGCGATGTAGGACCAGAGACCGAGGTCGTCGAGGGCGTTTGGACCGCGGTGGGCGTAGGGGCTGCCACGGCCGGAGGCGAGGGGACCGCTGGTGCCTCCTACGCGGGGCGAGATCATACCGCCCGATGATCGTAAGGCATGCGCTTCGAGTGCATCCAATCGCTCAGAAAGCGCGGCCAAGTGCGCTTGCACGCCTTCGACCGCGCGCTCGAGCGCCATGGCGGAGTGCGGTCGGACGAAAGCGTTGTCGAGTGGATGCGAGCGGACGGACATGCCTCCGCCCGGCGCACTCGGCGGACGTCGGTATCCTTGCATTGGTGCGTAGGGAGGCGACATGGGCGGTGGTGCGCCGTATGCTGAGCCGGATATGGAGGAGGGTGCGGCGACTGATGATCCTGATGGGCCGGCGAATGCGGAGGGCGTCTCGAATGCGGGCTGGGGTTGGGATGCGGGTACGGGTGGGACTTGTGCGGGCGTCATCATGAGCGATCCGCCTCCTACGGGCGTGCGGTAGTGTTGGTGTGTTGAGTGTGCGGAGGGTGTGCGCATGTGCGTTGCGCTATCGGGTACATGTGGGGGTTGAAGAGGCGCGATATGGCCTGGCTCGTCGTCTTCGTCAGACTCTGAGGAGGAGTCTTCGTTGTCTGAACGATTGGGCGGTGGAGCGGGGGGCATGCCGGTTTGTGGAGGGTATTGCAGGGAACGGTAGATTGACTGGGAAGGGCCTTCGCCGTTCTCGGAGGACGAGTCTGAGTCGGCGCCATGGGAGAAGGAGGTTCCTTCGAAGTATATCAGCATGTAGAGTAGGGATGATGGCTGTACGGCTACATACCGCTCATGACCATTCCGGATGCATCGCCGTAGGACTCGAGTTCTCGGACTAGGTCTCTCGCCACTGTAGCATCGGAGTATCGTCGAAGAACCTGTGTACTATGTCAGGATCCGGCCTATGAGGTAACGAACGTGGTCTCTTACCTTCAAGAGCGCCTCGACGTAAAGCCACTTGGCCTCATATGGGTTAAGGTCTTTATGCTTCGCCCATGCATCCCTGCATCAACTCAGCATAGCCCAATTAGGCGCCAGAATGAAGCGCACCATTTCGCGCGTCCCAGCATATCCCACATGCCCGGTCTTGGTCCCTGCACGTTGCCGACTGTAGCTACAGTCGCCAGCCTGAGGTTAGGATGCATGCGCCCTCACGCGACCATGGAACGCACCCTGCTTGTACAAGCTACGGCCCGTGTGAATAACTGTATATGGAGGCCAAGTGCTTCACGCACCTATACATGGTCAACTTCTCCTCATAGCCAGTCTGGATAGGTCCTGCATCAACCGGTGTCAATAGCTGGGTTAGAGTGATATAGCCAGCAGAGCGCACCGGTCTTAGGTAGACTCTGGATTATCTCGACTGCGCGGTTGAACTGCGCATCGGTGAGCTCTCGCGCGTCCATGATGAGAGGGGATTCCAAGCTGGTAGAGCGCTACTGAGACAGGCGAAGGTGAGGGCACCACAAGCACGAGGGGAGCTAGTGATTGTTGTTATCCGAGAACGAGCTTGAAGGCGTGATGAAGAGTGCAGCAACAGGGGTTCAAGTAGAAGTGGGTATCGTCTGTCCTAGTAGATGCAAGCAGTCGCAGTTGGATGGGGAGGACAGGGTTGTACGAAGCTCTAGCCTGATGGCGTTCACTTTCAAAGCCCGAACTTTGTTGACGCGAAGGGGGCGCATGTGTTTCTCATGTTTACCGTGGCCCGCGGCTGGTGCAATGTACTCACGCGCGACTGACCCATATGGCAAACCTCGTACTCGAAGTTCACCGTTGCGCGGCGTCTGACATTCAAGCTTACAGTAGCACTTCTAGTATCCTGGACCGTGACATCCTTCTACGATGTACGTGCGAGTGGACTCGGAAAGCCGAGGCGAGTGGGTGTAATTATAGGCAAAAGCCACGTCAAAAATATTGTAGTCTTCTCTCCGTACAGTCTGGGCAGTCTCCACCGACACCCTCATCGATCATCACGTATCCCTCTACACGGTAGAAGTACCCCAGTACGTGTAACAACCCTCATGCTACAGCTTCTGCTGTCTGCGCTGCATTCTCGGGCAATGGTGCAATTGGCGTCACAGTGTGCTTCGTAGCTTTCGGCTTCGGGCCAGATACGCCTCTCGCCCAAGTATACTTCAGGCCGCCGGGTATCCTCTCCTCGCGTTCGCTCACGCGCTTGCCTACCAATCCAACATCAGAAACCCAAGTCACCTCAGCAGAAGTATCAAGCAACACACCTTTCCAGGTCAAGAACCCCCAAGCCTTCCCGTGCTCTCCATGCCCCTTTATCCGCACACGCGACACCTCCCAGTGGCTCCCAACAATATTCTTCCCCGTCCAGCGCGTCTGGAAGACGGTCGCGCCGACGCCGTCGCGTGGTTGGCGCGAGAGCACTTGGTAGAGGTTGCCGCTCTTGTCTGAGAGGCTGGCGGGCGGTTTGCTGCCAAGGACGCTCTGGAGAGCTTTTTCGAGTGTTACGCGGCTGCCGGACGCGACTTTGGATGCGAGGGACATGGTGGGGAGTGCCGAAGACTGGACTCGCGACGCGCTCGAGGACGCGCTGTCGTGCGTGGGAAGTTTGCAATAATTGCCGCCGCGAAGTTCGGGTCGGGTGGTCGTTCTCTCTGGCTTCTCCTGTCATGTTCATTCCGAATCCTGTTCTCGAACACATATATCTCTTGGAATGAATGCCGGGCGATAAATCCTGATACGGAGAACATAGATCCCGCCCATAGGCATAAGAAGCCATCATCGCAATCGCATGTGTACACGATATCCTACATGGCTCTACTCGTACATGACCAAGGCAGGGTGTCCGGGAGACAAGGGGTCGTCGAACCATCTACGTTCTACCTCTGGATTGAGATCAAAGTCCATCTGAAGATGATACCATCCGAAACGTCCGACAATATCCTTCGGGATAGAGTCTACGTCGATGCATTGGCCTATCGGAGTGACAAACACGAAGAAGAACCGCGCGGATGGGTTCGCCTTCCTCACGCGCTCAAGTTTCTCTAGACTGTACTCAGAAAACATCGGCATGTCGTCCGAGAGCATCTGAAATACGACGACGAATCGTCTGTCGGCTTTCGAACGTGGCCGTTTGGCTGGTGGCTGCGCCGGTCCTGGTGCCAGTGAAGCAGATCCTCGCCGTCGCTTTGAGCTCCTTGTATCGCGAGAGGCTGGCTCTGAGAGGCGATCCTTGAGCGCGAGTTCTCGAGCTCGAGCTCGAGTGATGACGCGACTGGAATCTGGCCTCGCGAGAGAGTCCTGTTTCTCGACGGGCGGGGTGATATACAACAGCGAGTGGAAGGTGGAGTCCTGGAGGTTGCGTACAACAAAGTATGAACCTGGCTCAGGCTCTGCCGGAGGATCCGCATCATCGAGCATCTGGACAGACCGCGCTTGGAAGACGTGTTCGAGAAGAAGCCCGCGTTTCGCGCCGTCGGGAAAACACGGACTGAGGTCCATTCGTGCAGCAACTTCGGACCTAGTTCTCTCGGAGAAGAGGGCATGAGACAGTTGTTCAAACAGCCAGAGCCGAGTGTTGTCCATGATATCCGGTGGCTCGCGGATGGCACCTATCTCTCGGAACTTGTAGAGGCTCTTGAACCCAAGATGTTGCCGTAGCTCGTTCATTACAAGTCGAGACGCGATGACTGGTGTCATGACTTCTTTTTCTTTTTTCCCGGTTCTCTGATAGTCGCGTCTCAGAGAGAAGAGGTCCGGTCCATCGAACGCAAGCAACGAGGGAATATGATACCCTTCCCAGCCAACCTGGTAATTTCTGCGGCTTTGTCCCGGGAAAGGCCTGCGATGTACGTCCGAAGAGACGCGTAGAGATCGACTCGCTGTGTTACTGCCAGGTAGCAGTAACGGCTGCAGGTTCCAAAGTCGCGTACAGTAGACAGCAAGCGCGAGAGCGCTTCTTTGCTGTGCCTGATATTGCATTGGACGAGTGCTCTGTGCTGTTGTCAGTATAGGCCGAGAGAAAGATATATTCGTGCTTACATACCCAGAGAGTACAACAGACGGGGACCATGAGTCCAGAGTTAGACTCTCTGTCCGGTTTCTCCTTGCCCAGTCGGAGAAGTACCGGTCCTCTGGCCTGCAAAGCTGGATAAGAAAGAGATATCCCATAGTGGCCCCAGATGCCGGCTCGCCCTCCACAGGAGATGTGTCAGTGATGATCCATGTGTCTTCAGGTACAGCAAGTCTTAAGTCGGGATTGCTAAAGACGCAACTGTAAGTGAAACCATCGCGCTCCAAAACGCCGCCGGTGTCGAAGAAAAAGAACTGGCTTTTATTCGGCGAATAGAAAACGAGCTTCTTCTCTGCAAGTCTTCGGGCTAAAAGATACAATGACAAGTATGTCTTGCCTTCGGATAGGCGTCAGATGTCTAGATATATCTCAGTGTGTCGTGGCAGTGCTCACCAACCCCACCCTGTCCTCCGATGATGACGCCTTCCAACCGGTGAGACGCCTTAGCGTGCATATCTCGGACTCGACCATAGATACGCTCGTGGTCATCCAGGAACATGATGCGTCCCTTTGTTTCGGATAGCTCATCTACCCAGGGCGATTCGAGGAAAGTACAGGAAGGCAAATGTACGTCTGTTTCGCCACCGAGGACACTGCGAGCTAATGCGGATACTGAGTCCTCCAAGGAATGAGCATCATACTGCTTGAGAGCTACCACTGCTTCATTAGTGTCACGCTGCATGCGAAGGGCGGGGACTATACCGTCAGTCCAAGCCTTCCAAGGTTGTAGTACATCGAAGTCTAGATCCTTGCCCCAGAACTGACGCCAGGCAGCGTAGTACGGTCCATCAGTCACCCTGCGCCAGCCTTCATTCACTAGAGCGTCTTCAGAGCCAGCTGGAGATGTCATGAGATGCACGGGAGAGTGAACGGTGGTGATATGATGAAGGTCGGGAAACAACAGGAAACAACACGGCGGGTGGCGCAGCTAATACAGGGAGGCACCGTCACGTGGCGGTGCAAAAGCACCGTCGTGCGTGGGAATTCTGAGATTGCCTTCGACGCGAGCGCAATTTCTGGCTCCCTTGCCTGCTTTTGACGCCGATCTAGGATATCCCCTCTCCGCTCGCGACGCGGAAACGCGGAACTGCGTCCTGTATGCACTGCTTTCTGTGACAAGAGCCTATCGGATTCAGTAGCGCGTAACTATAAGCGCGGCTGAGCGCGCCGCAGTGCCCTGTGGCCCAAATAATCGATTGCTGCCTCGGTCCACAACTGACCGAACGGGCACAAGGCCCGCAATTACTTTGCTTCAGGTACGGGAGCCCTGTTGAGGCGCGCTGTTGTTATCCTGTGTTGCACCCGCCGTCGAGTCGAGAACCTGTTGCCTACAAGGACCAATCAGGCGGGGTTTATAAACTCCATCAGGGGTCCACAACGGCTGTTCCACGCTCTCTCCTCGCAATGACTGTACTGTTTGAATTGCATATCCTATGGGATACCTCAACATGCAGGCTCCACAGTGGTACTGGCATGCTGGAGGGAAAGCCCGACCTGTGTCTCTTTGAGGGCGCTTGTTGGGGTTTGCGTTGTCATCAGGATCAACAAGCCAGTGATTGGCACTCATGCCCCCGGATCGAGTAATCTCTTTGTTTGGGCATGAGAATCGATATGGCATGCATTCCCAAGCTTCTGACGGCGGAAGATCAATCCGGCTGGCCATTAGTATGAGCGCTCGCGAGTCTCGTCCGTAATCGAGAATCCTTGTCCTCCCCCACTTCATCCTTGTGCGGGACGCATCTTACTACTACAGCACTCTCCGTTTGGCTCGCTGGCTCGAACCCGGATACCTAATCATCGGTATGTGTACATTCTTCGTACTCCGGGAAGTGAAAGATACTAATATCTTTCTCAAGGACGGGATGCCCCAGCTCTCTCCTCCTATCAGCAGCACGATGACCCCTGACGAGATACTAAGGAAGTACGGATGGGTGGAGGATAACCCGTATAGCGACATGCGGGAAGTGTGGAACACATACTGGAACAAGGAGGTGGAGCCCCTGCAGGCAGAATGTCCGTCGGAGTGGCAGGCAGGTGCGTCCATTGATATCCGCGAGAACACGGCATATATCTGAGCAAATGTTAGCTTTGGATGCGATAAGCGACGAAAGAGTACCGGAACTCATCGAACTGGCAATGCGATTCGGCGTGATCAGTGAGGACGAGCCGAGGCTACCCGAAATCGCTTACTACGACGTTGGCTGCCTGTCGCTGCACTTTGAGTCCACAGATGGCCGTCTTATCGAGTTCCATCAGTATCCGCAGCTATGCGGCGAGATCGGAGGCTTGCGCAACGAGAAGAGGCGAGGCGGTGTGGTGGTCACGGGTCAATCCGGCAGTGGTGCGTTTACCTCGACTATACTGTTGCGCGGCGCGGCCTAACTTGTTCCTCGCAGGCAAAACCTTCTTCATGTTCTACTTCCTCATCCAGGCCTTGATGCGCACCGAGCCTGTCTTACTCTCTATGTGCGATGAAGAACATTACCTCTTCTTACCAGATGGCGTGTGGGCATTGAAGAAGCATATCGCAGATCCAGACTCTAGTAGTCGACAGGATTTCTTGCGTGTTGTTCCTAAGGGTACCTGGGCGCTTGTCAACTGCGATGATATGCGATCTGCGCCTTCATCTGCGTTGTCCCACGGCCTCGTCTTCTTTCCGGTTTACTTTGCTCCCCCGCACTCAGGAAAGTACGACGCCCTCCTTGCGGTGTCACATCCCCCATTCTTACGGATCATGTCGCCCATGACCTCGCGCGAGATTGTTGCATGGTGAGTGGGATCGGCAGCCTACCCATCTGTCTTATTGACCGGAATCATGTTACAGCTGCGCTGTGTTGAGTGAAGATTTGGCTCAAGATCGCTCCCATCTCTCTTTGAAAGGAGTTCTGAACCATATGGGCGTGTTTGGTCACGCGCCCAAGCCTTGTCTGGAGTCGATGCAGGGCATCACCCTTGAGTCCGCTATCCGTGCAGTGACCAGAGACATTCAGAAGGTCAATCTCGAGCAGTTACGACACATACTCGTCTCTCTCGACCAGACAGACGACGGGTCGCTGAGCTACACTAGCATCGACATCATGTGGGACACGCACTTTCGCGCCCTATTCATGATACAGCGCATTGATGATTGGCCGTCCGACCATGTCACTCTATCGTTTGCGTCCACTTGGATATTGCAGCGCATCCTCGAGAGCTTCACCCTCAGGCAGAGGGACTATACGCGGACCTTCGTGTCTGTATTGCTTCAGGATCATCGCAAACTCGGGTCCGCTACCGGCGTCATGTTCGAGAGTCTGATGCATCATGTTCTATCTGCAGCGCCGTCAGAATGGGACGGGCGGTTCGACCTCATAGAGATCGAACTCGATGGACCAGCCCAGCGTATGAAGGACAATCCGCACGCGGTAGAGATCACCCATATCTTCCGTAAGCGCGCCCTGTTGTGGTACTTCACCCGCTGTCCTCCCAAGTTCCATACGCAACAATACTTCGTTCCCGAGTCTGCTAAGAACCCAACTTTCGACGCTGTCATCTACGACCGGCTGGTTCCGGAGGTCGTGCCCGTTATCCCCGAAGATCAGGATAGAGGACGCAGAGCGCATGATAGGCGCGCTTTCATGATCCGAGGACAATCAGAGTCCAGCCGTCGCTCCGTATCGGCAGCAACTCCCGTCGATGGATACGGGTATGTTCTTCTCGCATTGGCGTCGGTTCAACACTCACAAATACATTAGGAGACGAGGAGAATCAGCGAGCATCGACTTCGAGTCAGCGATGGCTTATCCGAGTCGAAGGTCGACATCTATGGGCACTCGAGCCGCCTCCTCGTCGGTCGCACCGTGTGGTCCGAGTCCCACTCCCTTCTCGTCTCGTTCACGCTCCAACACCCATATGTCGAGCGTATACTCATCGCGCGAGCGATCATCCGCTCCTGACAAGACAACACCTGGTGTCAGGGTGATCAAGCGCAAGAAGTCTGCAGTGGATAGGCCACCCTCTTCGAAGACGGGCCATAAAGTGGCCAAGACTTGGGACGAGAGTCAACACTGCATTGCGCTGCAGATGACCATCGCTGCCGTACACAAAGTCAAAGACGAGGGCCTCGAGCGCCTGATGGACTCTTTCGAGCCTAGACATGGCAATTGGTCGTTCATCTTCGTCACGCCGAAGTCGAGGCCGATGAATATGAAGGAGCAGAAGAAGATATTGGAGAAGCTCGATGAGAGTTGGCGCAACAAGTTTCGCTGGTATAATCTCATAGTGGACATTGCACATCCCGGCTATTTGGACGTGGACCTACCTGGCGTCGGGGCAGATTCAGACGATACTGGCTCAGACATCGTTACGGTGCCGACTGATGCGGACACAGTCGGCGATGCAGTAGTAGCATAGACCTAGCCACTCTTACTTGGGCTGCCTGATCGTACCATATGCATATGAATCTCTTTCCGTTTGAAGTCCATTTCTGAAGGTGCAAAGATTGTCCCAATGGCAACCGAAAGGGTCGGTGTGCGTAAAGCAATAGATTCACAACGAAGAGTATACAACGGTAACAGTCGAAATTGAACTATGCTTCTATGTAAAGTCGAGGTCCACTTCCAGGTGATACCATTTGAAGCGTGCGATCAGAGCCTCCGTGAAGGAGTCTAGATCTAAACCCTGGCCTCGTATGGTGACGAAGACGAAGAAGTATTGCGCGTAGGAGTCTGTGTTCCTGATGCTGTCCAAATACTCCAGACCGAGCGTTGTTAATGTGGGTCTGCGGTCGAGCAGCATCTGATAGACCACAACGAAGCGTCTCTCCGCCTTCAGTCGCGGGCGCCTGATCGACGGGCGGGCGAGTGCCTCAGGGATAGGCTCTCTTGCTCGCCTAGTGCTTCTCGTCACTCGAGTAGGCGCTGATCCTTGCGTCTGGGTGCTGGATGCGAGTTGTCTGGCCAGACCTCGGGTGAGCGCGCGATCCGTCTGTGGTCCGACGACAGGAAGCGCCCTCTTTGAGTAAGGAGTGAGGAAGGATATTGAATGGAAAGTCGCGTCTCGGAGATCACGAACTACGAAGTAGGCTTCCGGACTGGCGCCTCGAGGAGGATCCGTCTCGAGAGTATGTATGGAGCGCGGGCGGAAGACATGTTCGAGGAGAAGTTTGTCGCCTATTTCGGCGAAACAAGGAGTCAGTTTGGCGAAAGTGGCGTCAGGTTTGCCTCCTTCAGAAAGGAGGGCGTGGCAAAGGTATTCAAAGAGCCATAGACGACTATGCTCCATATCGTCAGGTGGTTCACGTACGACCTCCATCTCGCGGAGATTGTATAGATCAGTGAATGCGGACTGGCGCTGTAGCTCGCTCATCACATATCGTGACGCAAAGACGGGGATAAACTCCTCCGTCGACACGTCATGGTAATCACGTCGCAAGGCAAAGATATCCGGGCCGTCATCGGAGCGCAAGAGATCTGGGAAGTCGTAGCCCCTCACAGCAAGAACGGGGAACCGCTGCATACGAGTGGGTGATAACTCGGACACATACGTTCGCAGAGACGCGTGGAGGTCAAGATGACGGGTTGTCCCAAGATAGCATAAACGACTACAGGGTCCGAAGTCGCGTATCACAGAAAGGAGACGGACGAGATGTTCCTTTCGGTTTCGCATCCCCACCTGGATGAGTGCACTACAAGACTGTGAGTATAAGTTAAGTCGACTCAATACGAGAGCTTACCCAGCGAGCACAGTTGCCGGAGACGGTAAGTCCAGTAACAACATGCTCGGCAATTTCTTCATTTTCCAGCTGTAGAAGTACTTCTCTTCTGGTCGGCAGAGCATGACTGGATAGAGATGTCCAGCTGTGGCTGCATGCAAGGGCTCGCTCTCGTCAGCGCGCACGTCCAGAATGATCCAGGTTCGTTTGGGCAATGCTTGGCGGAAAATACGATTGTTGAACCAGCTGAGTTCAAGTTTGTCGCTTTCCAGGACGCCGCCCGCATGAAAGAACACATAATGGCGAGCATGTGGCGAATAAAGGACCGGCCGCTCCGAGCTGAGATGAAGCACTAGCAGATAAAGAGATAGGTACGTTTTACCTGTCGCGGTCGGTCAGTCGGGGAATGCTCACACGTCTGACCACATACCGATGCCACTTTGACCCTCAACGATGACGCCCGGAGATCGAGTATCATTATGGAAGTCTTTGATGCGTCCATAGATGTGGTTATACCCTTCGGCAACCATAATGCGGCCCTTCGTAGCAGGCAAAATATCGACCCATGGCGAGTCGAGGTAGGTACAGGGAGGTAAAGCAACAGGAGTCTCGTCGCCGAAAACAATCTGAGCTAACTCGTGGAGTGACCCCTCCGCAGTACTCGACTCTGACGGCCCGGTAAGAGCTACACAATGTGTCAGTCGGCGATCTATGGACGAATTCATGAATCAGTTCAGGCTGACCATTGTCCCACGCTTTCCAGGGCGGCAAAACGGTCAGGTCGAGATCCTTTCCCCAGAATTTATGCCAGGCAGCGTGATAGGAGCCTCCGGGTAGCCTTCGCCATGAGTTATCCAGCAGAACCTCTTCAGATCCTGCTGGTATAGACATAAAAGCGACAGAAGACGGCTTTGAGCGGACCAGATGGCCGTCGGAACGAACCTTCGTTGCCGACATCACTTCGGGGCGCGTTATCAACAATAATCACGTGACATTCGATGGCATTGTGCAGTAAAGTGCCTCGTGAGGCTCTTGTCGGAAAGGCTGGCTGGTGTTTAGCTGAGTACGCTCTGGACTTTAGAGAGCCTTTTCGGGTGCTACGCGGCGTCGGGCGCGATCTTGAAGGCGAGGGTCGAAGACGCGCTCGAAAGAGGTCATCCGTGGGAAGTTTGCAATACTGGCCCCGCGAAGTTCGGGTCAGGGGGGTGTTCCTTGGCTTCTCCCTTCATTCCGTTCCAAATGTGCATATCTTCTGCTGTACCGGAAGTCGCTGTCCGTCTTGTTATACTCTGTAACATGGACATCTCGTGGCCTTCCCAGCCTCCGCGGAGTACAGCCTGATCCCTAGACGAGAATGCACTTGAAGATCTACCTCATGGTGATACGCCGCAGGACTACCGTACATGCACCTCCCGCGGACTCTCAGACTAACCCTCATGTGGTTCTGGCGCCAACCTTGTACTCGTCTGACCATGACATGGAGTACAGAATTGCATATAATTCCAAACGCGTCGGCTTAGGCATTTTCCGCCTGCGCCTCTGCCTCGACAATGCTTGACTACGGTAGCACGCCAATCATAGGTCACTATATGGCTTTGCATGCCAACGACGACCGCGCCTTGTGTGACGGTTGCCATAGGCTATAGCTAAATGCTCTATTCGGCCCAGTTCATCTGTCTCAAAAGCAGCCATCATGTTCCTACTCATGGACGGATGAAATCAACCAAGCAAACCTAGCCCTCATGCGCGCTCTGTCCTGAACCTGTCATTGGTTCGGCATCTGCTCACGCCCAGTGGCTCACTGCTGATTCAATAGAAACGCGGGTATCACCACGCGTCCACCTTCTATATTTGGTATTTGCGATCAGCATGGCTGTATGCCCCGTGCAAAGAAGCCTTTCTGCGACTCCCAGGCAGCAGCGAGGCGCTGAAGGTCGAGCTTCTTAAGATGTGGATGGTCTTCGTGGGCCACCGCTCGCAGTTCCACGGTCATGCCCTCCCTCACCGTTGTCTCGAACTCAGCGCCCGATAGTGGAACTGTCAATTTACTGTGAGTACGGCCCGTTCACCCCAAGACCTGCACTGAACAAGGTGAGATAGGTTGGCACCGGATGTACTTGCTTTGGCATCATCTGCGTTTGGACGTTCAACTGGCATCTTCTCACCCAGTTCGTTGGCAATTTCCTAGGATGGTTCTTGTACGCTACTCGCGTTGCTCTAAGCTTCGATCGACTAAGCTGAGTACACTCATAGGTATGGCCTACTCGTGCTGCAAACATGTAAGCCCGCATATGCTCGCCGTCACCAGTACGATCAGAAGTGAACTCAATCGGCATCACCACGTCAGATCACTACCGCAGAAAATCTCGACATGATCACCCAAGCATCAGGATGACCGGTACGCACCCCTGATTGCAGATTGATTAAAGCTGATTGCGCTCAGTCTGGGGCATATTCGTACTCGAGACCGCTCTCACTGTCATCACGACCCGCGTCACATACACGTTGCTTTGCAACGGATGGGGTGATCCCGACGCATTGAGGAGGCTCAGTAGACTGGACGCGTTCATCCCTGCCATCGGTGGGCTTGGTGAGTTCTTGCATGGATATCTGGAGATGCATTACGAACGTAGTTCGCTCTCCAGTCTCAGGATGGACTCAGACGTTCTACGCATGGAGAATCTACAAGTTGACTAGGAGCGAGATGTGGGAACAAGAGCGGCGACCTTGGAGGTGTGTCCCCGCACTGGTCATGCTGGTGAGCCTATCACGCCGCATGTCACCGCCTTACGCCCTGACGCATAGTGGCAGCTCATGGGGACGTCAACTGGTACAGCTCTATACTGCGGCTTTGGGGTGAGCTCGCATTTAATTGACTGTCGACGCTCGCACTCACAGGCTGTCACCTCAAAATTAGACGATCAATTTCACGGACGTCGCATCCTTGATGAATATTCAATCAAGACTCATAGTCTGGCTTGTCACCTCCGTACTCTGTGACGCGATCGTCGCACTGAGCCTGATCTACATCGTACGTCGCGCATGACAAATCATCGTGTGCCATCCAGCTGATGCCCAAGAAGCTGCATCGGATGAATCGACTCTTGTCCTTGCCGAAAGAATTTGAGATCCATGAAAGCCCTCTCGAGGGTAGAATCAAGAGCATCATACTCATGTCACGTACGTGCATGTTTACATTGCGCTAGGACACCTTTGATAAGACGTTCACAGTGGAAACTTGCTTGCTCACGACGATATCAACGATTGCTATGCTTGTGCTCTTCGTCGTTCTACCGCAAAGCAGGTTACCCACTATGATGTATGTCTCCGAGCCAAAGCCTTGGTAGACTATGATGCAGACGCTGACGAGCATCTAAGGGGCTTCATAACCTCCAAACTCTACTCAAACAGTCTTCTCGTCTCCCTGAACTCGGTGCGTTCCCCCCCGTGAAGTGGGTGGTACGTAGAGGCATGCTCATGTAACCACAGAAGCATCACTGGGCAGCGAGGGTGGCTGGAAGGAATAGTACCTTTTCCGCATTGGAGCCTTTCGCCGCCGCCGCACCACGAAGGAGAGAGACCAATACTTCCGTCACGGTTGAGGTTGAAGTGCCGGTCGATGATAAACCTTATAAGAGAGCGGATTGAGCACATCCGTGGCAGCCTAGCACGAGTTTTAGGAGTCAGAGCTCAGCATTCAGTACTATACCAAATTATGATAGTAATGACCATCTCTCGATCTGTCGTCGTAGCGCAGAACTCTCAGCACTTTTTTTCAAAAATTCCGTCCCGGGTAGGGAGCCGGTGCACGAGAGAATGGAAACCCCTTCGAGATTGCTGCTGTCTGAGTGGTATCTGTATGACTATAAATGTTCCGAAAATCGTACTCAAAGGTTGCCGTGTCCACCGGTAGACCCAAAGCCACCAGCGCCACGTAAGGTCGCATCAAGGTCCTGCGTCAAGTCAGAGTCTGGAATGGTCTGAGTTCTGCTAGTTGACATACCTGAACCTCAAGGACCTCCGGCGTCTGGATCTTTTCGATGATGAGCTGCGCTATGCGGTCGCCCTCCTTGACTATACAGGAATAAGTTTTGGTCATGACCACAAGAGTAGTGAAAGTGGCTTACCGGTGAAGTCTTGGTCGGAGAGGTTGAAGAGGAGAACGAAGACTACTCCGCGGTAGTCCGCGTCGATGACACCAGCGCCTGTGTCAATCATGAACTTGGAAGCTACGAGAAGTCTCAATGTCTCGTGAATGCAGCAGCATATGGTACAATCACGTACCTAGGCCACTACGCGGTGCGACGCGTCCGTACGTGCCCGCCGGTACAGCGATAGAAATCTGAGTGTCGACCAGCGCCTTGCCACGCGCAGGGATAGTCTTCTCCTCAGCACTGTTCCGCGTCAGCCGTTTGTCACCTAATTGTTTAGGCTGTAAGTCGCGTACCTGTACAAGTCATACCCAGCCGCAAGCGCGCTCCCGCGCGTCGGCAACCTCGCCTTCTCCGACAAGCGTTTAATGAGCAAGTTCGACGTCGGCGCGAGGTCGGATTTGTCGTTCTCGGTCGGAGACATCTTGCGTTTCTTGGTCTCGGGCTCTTCGATGGTGGTCATGGGCAGAAGCAAGTTGTTGGGTTGGTGGTGGCTGATACGAAGGTTCGGAGTTGAAAGGACAGGACGCAAGCGCGCGCGACGGTGTGACGCGACGCGTCGAGACGCGTTGACTGCGCAGTTCGAAAGCGCGTCGGTCTCAGTTCGCGATTTCCGCCTTGCGCATGGATAGGCTGAGATTGCAAAAGAACACATATGATGCTGTATTGTATACGTATGGTACGGGATGCTGGGAGACACATAATGCAGTATGCGACGAGGTATCACACTCGGAGATAGAGACGGGTCCATTGAAATCGAACGGCTACATTAGACACACACCCTACTTCTTCTCCGTACTCCCAAAGCTGAACGCAGTCGGCGCAGGCGCAGTAGCACCATCCTTCTTCTCCCCATTTGTCGCTGTGCTTCCGAATGAGAACGATCCACCACCACCAGGCTTCGCACCAAAAGCGCCCGTCCCGCTGGAGCCGAACGCACCGCCGCCCGTCGTGCTGCCAAACGAGAACGACGCGGACTTGGCTGGCTTCTCGGCGGTGGGCGTCGGCATTCCGAATGGTGACGAAGTTCCCGAAGTCGCATTGCCCGGCGTGGTACCAGCTGGTGCGAAGGCGCTTGTCTTCCCACCGAACGCCGACGAGCCGAATGCACCGCCGTTCTGAGCTACAGCACCAAAGGGCGCCGCCGAGCTGTTCGCGTTGGGATTTGTCCCCGCGCCAAACGTTCCAAAGGCGGATTGCGTTGCGGGTTTGTCAGATGCGCCGGGTTGGGCCGTGCTCGTTGAGCCGAACGCGAAAGCTGATGGTTTCGCAGCCGTAGCATCAACTGCAGGTGCAGGCGTAGACGACGAAGCAAATGGTGACGGCGCTCCAGATCCAGAGCCACCACCAAACGCGGAGCCACCAGTAGTACCGAATGCACTCTTCGCACCATTCGCCGCACCGCCAAAGCCAAAGGGAGAAGCAGCAGCAGGCTTATCCGCCTCCTTTGCCTTCGCCTCTCCTCCACCGCCAAAGCTGAACACTGGCTTCTCCGCCTCTTTACCCTTATCCGCAGCTCCGCCCGCATTGCCGAACGGAGAGGCAGGCTTCGCAGAGCCATCCGCAGGCTTGTTTGCGAATGCTCCAAAGGGACTGCTAGCACCAGCAGCAGGTGCAGGCGCGGGCGACGGCGCTTTCGTTTGCCCAAACGCACTAGCGCCGCCGAACGCATTGTTCGCGCCAGCACCAGGCGCAGGAGATGCCGGCTTATTCTGCCCGAACGCACTGGTTCCCCCACCGAATGCGGACTGTCCGCTCCCGCCGAAGGAAAACGCAGGCCCTGGCTTCGGCGCGGCTGGTTCGGCAGCAGGAGTAGCTGCAGGTGTGGGCGCGGGTGCAGCCGATTGACCGAAGCTGAACGTCGGTGCGGGTTTTGGTGCATCCGCTGCAGGTGTGGCGCCGGGGGCAGGACTCGCGGGCTTATTCGTGCTCGCGAAGTTGAACATCGGTTTTGGCGCTTCCTTCGCGGGTTCTTGAGCTATATCACATTTCGATTAGCATGACCTCCTGAAAGATGAACGAGACAGTACATACCAGCAGCGTTGGACGATCCAGCTTGCGGTGCGCCGAAGGGAGAACTTGCAGGTTTAGCGCCGAATGGCGAGGCGGTATCCTGCTTAGCACCGAACGAAAACGCAGACGCCGGTTGCGCGGGTTTTGCTTCTTCAGGTTTCGGAGCAGTAGGGGCTGTTGCACCCGCACCCGCACCCGCAAAATTGAAGAGAGCGGGCGGTTTAGGTGCTTCTGGTGCAGGAGCAGCTGCCGGTGCCGGAGTCGGTGCTGCCGGAGTGCTAGCAGCAGGAGTCGACGAGTGACCCCTGTTCCCAAAGAAATTGGGGATCGAAGCTGAAGTGTTCGAAGAAGCCGCTACAGGAGCAGCAGCCGGCGCAGTTGCTGACGTTGAAGATGTCGTGCCGAATGAGAATGAGGGTGTAGCAGCAGGTTGCGCGGGCTTGTCTGCGGGTCTGTCGGCCGGTTTGTTGAAGAGACTTGTGCTGGCTCCAGAGGATGATGGGAAGGCGAATGTAGACTTCGCAGGTTCGGCTGGTGTGGATGTCGATGCGGGTGTTTCTGCCGGTTTAGCTGGCGCAGCGGGCGTATTAAAGAGTGAACCGCTCGCCGCCTGAGGTGCAGGTGCCGGTGCAGGTGCGGCAGGGGTGAGCGTAGGCGCGGGCACGGGCGGAGGCGCCATAGCCTTCCTCTTCGCCTCTTCCTCCTCCGCCTTCTTCCTAGCAGCCTCCTCCTCCTTCCTCTTGATCTCCCCATAAAGCGCCGCCTCCCTTTCCTGTTTCTGCATCTTCGTCAGACTCAGCCTCGGCCCTCTCGGGCTTTCGATGGCTTTGCCCGCTTGAGAGGGCACGAGGCCTGAAGTGACGCGGCGGAATGCACCGGGTGTGGCGGGAGGTGGTGGGAGTGGTGTACCTGGGATTGAACGGCGCGGGGAGGCGGGGAGGGAACCGAATGATGATTTGAGAGGGGAGGAGACGGAGGGAAGGGTGCTTAGTTGCCAGAGCATTTGTTTGCCGGCGTTCTCGAGGGGAGCCTGGAAAGAGCAGCGTCAGTTTGATGAGATCATAGTTCACGAAACGCGGTCCTCACCTTGATTTGCCTGGCGAGTTCGGTGCTGATTGTAGGCTTCACAGGAGACTGGTGAGCGTGGACCTGGCGATCACTGGCATCCTTATACTCCTCGTCCGTAAGCCACTGCTCGATGAAAATCTCTCTCGAGATATCGCGGTCGGGGTGGTGAGAGTCGGCAGGCTGAAGCATGTCAGCAAACACGCCCCGCGATCGAAGAGCACGCATGAAAATGCACATACCATATTATAGACCGGCGCATCCGTCTTGATGAACGATCTCGTGAGCCTCCTCCCCGTGGGCCCGACCTTATACGTCTTCCCATGCAACTCCCAAACGTCTCCCACTTTCCGTCCCTTACAAGCCGGGTCCAAGACAACCCGCACGGGCTCATCCTCAACCATAGCGTCCTCCGAGCTATTCCTAGATGACTCGTCCCGCCTCCTCCGCGTGGACTTTCCACGCAACCTGTTTCCCTCGCTTTCGTCGTCGCTCGTGACATCCGACGCCCTATCGCGTTTCTGGCCACGCGTAGATGGGACAAGACCGGATTGCCTATGTTTCCTCCTCCGCCTCCTGTGCAGCTCCACACCAAGCTCGGCCGCATCTTCGTCGCCCATTGTCGACCCTGCTTCGGCACGATCACGTTTCTTGCCGCGACCGACTAATGATGGTGGCAATGCGGATATGTCGTCCATCTCGACATCTGCAGGTTCGGACGGCGAGATGTACTTGTTCGACACTTTGCGGTGGCGTTTATTGTGGCGGGTGAGCTCTGGTGAGGGGGAATCGTTTTCGTCACTGGTAGGGTTGGCGGAACGTTTCGGCTTGCGGACGAAGAGGTCGGCGGGACTGTCGTTGGGCGTGACGTAGGTGCTTGCAACACTGTGATAAATATGATCAGATGTGAGATACACAGGTTGAGTGCTTGCACATACTCTGTGGGCGCTTGCGGTGGCGAATCGCCTGAGGCCGTCTTACTTTCTTCCCTTCCTTTCGACGGCATTTGGTACTGAGACAGATCAGTCGAAGACAATCCATGCAGATATCCGGGAATCTGGGGACTAGGTTGTTGCGGGAAACTACCATGAAGTCAGTGCCGTGCAGAGAGAAGTGAGACACGCCACAAACGTACCTAGGACGCGACTCCCAAGCCGGCTGCAACCCGCCATTAGGATAACCACCCATCGGAGCCATGAGCGACTGTGACGCATGATTTGATACTATAGATAGCTTGAGCACGCGCGGATGATAGGTCATAATATATCGCGCACCAGCGTTGTTCGACCTCTGACGCAAATCTCCACCATTCGCGACACGCGGCTCAGACGGTTCCTTCAATGTCGGAAACAGCGGCCTCTTCGGCGTGCCATTCTCCTTTGCGCGTTGTGCGGCGGCATAGGCGACGTTGAACGCGCGGTGGTCGCTGTCCGGGATCCCATTTCTCCTCCGGTACGCTCTACGGAACCATATTTAACATCACTTCAACATTCAAACGTAAGATATACTCACAGTCTCCTTCGCTCCTCCTGATACTTCCTAAACCACGCCCTAAACTGATAAAATACAACGAGTCCGACAAGTCCGACGAGAGTGAGGATAAAGAAGTTGCGTTTCGTAAAAGGGCCCTGGGGGACCCGGCCAGGACCGACGGGAGACTTTCCTCCTAAAATGTCGGAAGACTGGTAGTCATCGACGACGGTCATAGCGGGTCGCCTTTGGATGGGGTGGGAGGCAGACGGTGGTCGGGAACAAGGAGCACGGGCGCGCGTTCGGAGTGGGCGCGGCGCGTCAGCTCAACGCGCGTGCGGCGTGTGACGCCAGACTACAAAAGGGCGCGCGTCTTTCTTTTTGCTTTTTTCGCGCCGACCACCATGAGCAATCCAACCTCTTTTCCCTTTCTTTTTGTGTTTGTTGTGTGATGTATAGTCTTACCTTCGTATTCCCCCACGCGCTTATGCCTGGTGACATGGCACATAATGCTTTCGTCCGCCTTACTTGCGACGTGGAAGAGCGACGCCTGCTTGGTCCACACTTGACCGATCTTGTACCCCGTACACACCTCCATGATCCGTCGAGTACTAAACCGAGTTCATACATCCACCCCCCATAACTTATCACCTTACTACGTATATATACATGCAATGCAATCACTTGAACTCCTACCGAGCTTCAGTCTGAGTCAATGTCCGGCTTCCCGAGCAAGCTCTTCACACGTCCCGGAGGTTGACGCGAACAACGAAAATAAAAATCAACGATATGTCAACGTCAGACGATTGGGGAAAATCATGAGAGATGGGAAAACGCTCGCCCGTTCATTGGGTCCCTGGATTTAAAGAGCGCGCGCATGGTCTGCTTTCGGCTCCAGCCTTGTTGGCTTTCCCTGCTTCAGCCACGTACTCCTTCTCCTTGACCATCTCCCTCCCGCTTCTAAGTCCTTTGTCATAATGTCCAAGATCGTCACGTATGCCGAGCTCAAGGAGCACAACAAGAAGGACAGCGTTTGGTTGCTTATCAGCGGGAAGGGTGCGTGCGCCAGATATACCGTCCGGTGTACTCGGCATCGCTGAACTGGCTGTACAGTGTACGATGTGACGAAGTTCCTTGATGAGGTATTATATCGCTTGCTATACCGCTATTTCCGATACCAAATATGCCTTAGCATCCCGGTGGCGACGAAGTCATCCTCACCGAAACCTGTACGTCCACAAATCCACGTGTTTCATCTCCCAATACTCATACAACCTTTCTATACAGCGAAAGACGCGACTGAAGCTTTTGAGGACGTCGGCCACTCCGACGAGGCACGGGCCCTCCTCCCTGATATGCTCGTCGGTGACTTCGAGAAGGACAGCGTACGTTGTTCTGATTCCACGTGTATTCTGCGTGTCCCCAACTGAACGCGAACGGGATTGCAGGAGCTGAAAACGAAGGCGCCCCCTTCAGCCTCAAATGTCGCTGCCGAGAAGGCCGTGCAGCAGGCATCTAAGTGCGCAGTCTTTCTTTACTCTGTCTAAGTTTGCGTGCTGATGGGATGCCGCAGCGCGATGTACTTTGTCCCCATGGCCGTCCTCGTCGCCTACTTCGCATGGAGGTTCTACTCGTAGACTCCCCACCATGTACACTACATGTCTCGCCCGCCTAGATCTCATGCTTTGTTTCTTGCTTCCGCCGAATCCCATACTGCTGCCTGTTGTGCCAACATAATAATACATAGTATGGTCATCGGAGCGATTTCCCGCGCTCAGAGTCAAATGTACGCCTTCAAGTTCGGGCCGCCTGGGTACTTCGAGAAGCAAGAACTCCCCTGTCATGGTCCGACTGCGATACAACGTATGGTCATCGGAGCCATCCCTCGTACTCAAATGCGCGAGCGCAGCCCGCCAGGGTGCCTCAAGAAGCAATCTGCTTCCCATACAACCTTGTTGCATTAGGCCTCTGCGCCTAATACAAACCATGGTCATCGGCGTCATCCCCGTCCTCGAACGTATAACTCCCAGCCCGGCCCGCCTAGGTGCTTCGAGAAGCCACGTACTCACATCTGGTTCTGGTCATCCAACTTCCTCCATCGGCTGCCCGGCGGTTATCCGCGACATGACACGAATAGTGACACGAAGATGATCATCGAGCGCCTGTCGTCTGTTCGGCGATCAATCTGATTCTTAGTTCTCAGGACGTCACCGATGCCCGCCCGAATACGTGTTGATGTGAACGTTCTTCTCCCCAACGGATAGAGCAGCCAAATTGAATAAGTATATTGTAAGCAAGTATCCAGGCCATGCAAAATAATCAAGGGATCAAGTGTTCAAAGAATTCCACAAGAGCGTCAAGCAGCGCCGTCCACATCATGCATCCACCCTCAAGTCTACGCAGGCCCAAACGCGACAGCCGCACTCCTAACCCCCGCAACAAGCGCATCAACATTCCCCAACATCGTCCCCAAATACTCCTTCTTCTGCTCCGTACTCCTCGTCCCGTCCGGATTACACGCCTCCGCAGCCGCACTCGTATCCTCGCTCGGCCTTCTCGACGAAGACTGCGTTGGTGTCGTAGGTGTACTCGGTATCCCGACGCCCAGTGAGGGCGCTTTGAGAGGTGTACCGTATCGCGAGCTCACGGCGCGTGAACCGTGCACTTTCTTGGGACTGAGGGGGGTATAGTCTACGTCTTTTTGTAAGAGCAGTAGGGCGCGCGGTTTGGCGAAGGGGCGGCGGGGTGTCGCTGCTCCTGCTGGTGCATTCGGCGAGCGCGGTGGTGTGCGCGGTGAACGATCGGCCGAGGAGATTGATGTCGCTGACGTTGAAGATGATAGGGAGAATGATGAGGATTGGGAAGAGTTGGATGAGTGCGAGTCGTTGGAGCCCCATGATGCGTCTCGGCCAGCACGGCGTGTGCGCGATTCGATCGTTGGCGATGCTGAAAGTGACGAGGTAGACGATGCAGGCGCGCCTGATGTTGATGAAGACAGCGAGTCCGGTGAAGATTCGTCCAACAGGTAGAAGTAGAGGAACTCCAAACACTTCATCCTATGGGAGTATCAGCACAGTTTCGAGATGAATATCATTGGTGGCCTTACTTCGCATCGCGCAGCGCTTTTGGCCTCTTAACGAGGTTGACCACCGTCTTGACTCCACCAACCTTCTCGAAAGTGCGCAATGCCGGAGACGAGTCGACGAGGATGCACAACAGCGTATCGAGGACTGCAGAGGATAAAGTGACAGGTGCCTTCGGCTTTGAGCTAGAAGCGGTGGGCGTGGATGGTGTGCTCGAGGTAGCATTGTCCGAGTCGGGATATCCAGAGTGTCGTGATGCCCACAAGAGATCCACGAGGACCTGGGTAACGTTGTCAGTTGGTGAAGGCGTGCAATGACGACCGAAACACACCTCTTGCGCATGTTCGCCGCCGAGAAGTACTTTACTGCGATGATGCACCAGTGCGACACCCTGTATCAAGGATAACGCCTGAACAAGTTGGCCGGAAAGGATTGCGGCCTCTGTGCCCTTCTCACCTATACTTGAGACATCAGCAAGTCTTCACTCATACTAGATGGCAACACGTACTGTCCGACATCCCGCGACTTAGTAGATGATCCAACCGTAAGCTCGCCGTAGACGTCCAGTCAATCAAGCGAGAAGGTACTGCAAATGACTTCAACCACCGTATCCCCACAACCACAGCCCTGTTACGCACTGTTGCACTCAAATGTATCCTGCAAGAACTGGAAGGTCTCCATATATCCGGACCCTTTATTTCGCACAAGAGTCTTCGCAAGTACTTGTTCAAGCTCATCGAGGGCTTGCGACCTCTTGGATGGGGACGAACGCGCTGAAACGACCTGAACCACCACTGTGGCGTCAGTACTGCGCTTCCAACACAAACCACGGTAGAACACACCCCATCAAGGGCTTCCTGTATCACAGTTTGCATATTCGCCAGAAGATCGTCCATATCCAATACCGGAAAAAGAATAGAGGAGTAGGTAGAGTGGTTCGTGCGCAAGTCGTGGTGGTGCTGTGCTGTGGTTCGTTTCGAACCGTGATGTGGGCGCATGTTTGCAACGTGCCGTTTCCATAGGCACGTGGTCGCGATGGCCGCAACCGCGCCGATTGGCCCGAACCTGGGACGCGCTCCCATGACCAACGCCACAGCCTGAATGGATTAGACGGGCAGCCCACGGTCCGTACGAAGAAGCGCCTGAGCACGACTTGTTTCTGACTGATCCACCACCACGATGTCCCCCATCCGCACAGTGAGCAGAACCCGCGCCGTGCGGGGAGAGACGACGTTTGACGCGTAGTTGCTTGTAGCAATGGTCGCGCCTCATCCGCTTCGTCGCGGCCGAGACGTCCGAAGTTCATCTGGGTGAACCAGTAGACGCAGCCATAGACGGTGAGAACAGCAACTCAATTCCAACCCTCAGGTTCTTACGTGCTGTCGATGATGTTCAGTCGGTCTGGCGATGTATCAGCGTCAGCCAGTCAAGGCGTACGAGATCGTCGGCTCTGCACTTGACCCCGCAGCACAGGTCACGAAGAACGTGTTGACCGTCAAGCAACTCCTTCCCCCGCTCTCGCGAGAGCAGATCGGCTCTGTACGCTGCCTCGGTCTGAACTATGCTGATCATGCCGTATGTTAGTTTGACTTGACTGCGCATACATGCTCATGTGGCTCATTAGGCGGAAGCCAACCTCGCGAAGCCGAAGTAAGTTGCAATGTACGCTGGGCGCTTTCATCCCGTTCTGATCAGGACATGTAGCGCGCCCGTTCTGTTCTACAAACCCGCGAGCTCTATAATTGGCTCGGGTGCCACCATCGTCATTCCCAAGGTCGCGCAGCCCGTGGATAAGCATCTTCCGGACTACGAGGTCGAGCTCACAATTGTGATCGGCAAGCCGGCCAAGAACGTTTCTGAGCAAGATGCACTCGACTACGTTCTCGGTTACACTGGCGGTAACGATGTAAGAAGAACATTCACCTCACATGTACCGCACGACTGCTTACCGGGCGATCCATAGACGTCCTTCCGCTTCCACCAGATGAACATCTCACAGTGGAGTTACTCCAAGAGTTTCGGTAAGGTTCAGCTTCTCCCCGCATACGGTATATAGCTCATGAGAGACACAGATAACACGAATCCGCTTGGACCGTGCATCGTTTCTGCGACCAAGATCCCCGACCCTCAAACGCTAGGGCTCAAGTCGACGCTTAACGGCCAGCTCATGCAAGACGGCACCACCGCGTAAGTCCGAAGATCCACTACATAGATCCGCCACTCACTTTATATAATACAGAAATCAACTCTTTAGCGTCCGCGAGACCGTGTCATTCCTCTCACAAGGAACAACACTAGCACCCGGAACAATCATTCTGACCGGTACTCCGAAGGGCGTCGGCTTCGTCAGGAAACCGCCTGTATACATGAAGCACGGCGATACTATTCAGACTTGGTTGGGCGGCGGTATTGGCACGTTGATTAACCCCGTCGTTGAGGAGGGCAAGGAAGCTAAGCTCTGAGCATGGATAACAACAAACTCGATAGACTGCATGTAGTATACAAATGTTCGTGTGCGTTATGGATGGATTGGATTTTGTTGCAGTCTTACAGACCGCCGAAAGCGATGAACTTCGTGTTCATGTACTCCTTGATGCCATGACCGCCCTCACGTCCGATTCCGCTTTCCTTGATACCGCCGAAGGGGATTACAGCTTGAGAAATCAAACCGGTGTTGGTGCCAACCATTCCAACTTCGAGAGCCTCCGCAACGCGCCACACGCGTCCAACATCGCGAGAGAAGAAGTATCCCGCCAGGCCATATGGGGTGTCGTTAGCGAGCTTGATCACTTCTTCCTCCGTCTCGAACTTGATCAACGCTGCGACGGGCCCAAACGTCTCTTCGTCGTTGAGCAACGCATTCGTGGGGACATCAGACAGGATTGTAGGCTTGAAGAACGACCCGGGACCGTCGACGGGGCGGCCACCGATGAGAACTTGTGCGCCCTTCTCGATGGCATCGTTCACATGAGATGCAACTTTGTCAACGGCACGCTTGTGGATGAGTGGCCCATGCGTGCTGTCGCGAGCCAGTCAGCTTTGATAAGGTCATTATGAGAGCTGCGGACGTACGTGTCTTTGTCGAGGCCATTGCCAATTTTGAATGACGATACCTTCTCGGCCAAGCGCGAGGCAAACTCAGCGTACACTGAGGACTGAACATAGATTCTGTTTGCGCAGACGCAAGTTTGTCCAGTCCCGCGGAACTTGGATGCAAGTGCTCCTATGTGCGAATTGAGTCGGACGAAGAAGTCAAAGCATCTAGGAGCTTACCCTCGACAGCAGCGTCGATGTCCGCATCGTCGAAGACAATGAATGGCGCATTGCCACCAGCCTCCAAAGACACCCTGCAGGGTCACCACCCCGTCAGTAAGGTTCGAAACGGGTAGCGCGGCGCTCACTTCTTCAAAGTACTGGTCGCCATCTTCGATAGAAGCTTGGCAACTTGCGTAGAGCCAGTGAACGAGATCTTCTTGACGATGGGGTTTTCGCACAACTCCTTCGCAACCTCGCTGACGTTCTTCTGCGTCGTTACGACGTTGATCACTCCGTCAGGTATACCTGCGCGTTTTGCAAGCTGCGCAATACATGAGATTACGGTGTATAGATCATATATGCATGAGACAAGGGCGTACCACTACGAGCGCAAGGGCTGAGTATGGCGTTTCGGGTGGTGGCTTGATGACGGTTGTGCATCCTGCTGCCAACGCTGCGCCCAGTTTACGCGTGATCATCGCAGAGGGGAAGTTCCATGGCGTCATGATGGATCTGTCGTAATGTTAATACCGCGGTTCATCAGCCGCACGCATGAACGTACACAACACCTGTTAAGGAAAGTGAGCGTGTGGGGACCTCAATCTAAGCTAGGTACGCACCAACGGGTTGTTGAATGACAACATTGCGGACGTTCGGAACGGCAGACGGTATGTGTTCTGAGAAGAGTCTTAGAAGTGAGCGCTGCAGGTATAACGCCGTGCGCGTACCTCCATATGCCCTCACAGCTTCCTCGGCTATCAACGTATACAGTCAGATCAGGGCACTACGCTGGAGAAGATTCAACGAACCAAACCACTGCGCAACATCTTTAGTACAGGCTCATCCAGAAGCACAGATGGCATACCTCAATGAAAGATGCGCTATACGTGTTCTCTCCCTATCCGAACTGTAGTCAGGTTCGATATTTTGAGCCGACGGAACTGGACGCACCTTCGCCTCGGCAAGCGTCTTGCCGTTCTCGAGGGTCATAAGACGAGCCAGATCCTCCTCATGCTCCTTCATCAAGTTGTAGAACTTGACCATAAGGTCATGGCGATGCTAGCCGCACATTCAGCTTCACCGCGTGTGGCCGGACCATGAAGCACGCACCTTCGCCGTAGTCTTTCCCCAAGTCTTGAAGGCCTCCGACGCCGCCTCAATTGCCTGCTTGGCCTCCGCCGTCGTCATCTCAGGAATAGTACCAAGCTCCTCATCCGTTGCAGGGTCTAACGCACACAGTTCCAGCAATTATTCGAGCGCGAATGTAGGAGACTCACTGGTGACCTTCAATGTCGCACCATCGTTTGCGTCCACCCATTTTCCATTGATGAAGGCTTTTGTTTGGAAGAGCTCCGAGTCCTTCAATCCGTGCTGGAATATGCCACCCCTCGTTAGAGTACGGTCCCTCCATAACAGTATATTACACACGGTATTTGTGCTAGCCATCCTTGCGTAGAGAGTTGTTACTCGTGTCGGGGCGTACAGTCGCCTTCGCAGGGTGGTCGAAAGCAAGCGATAAGATGCGGGCCGCATAGTGAGGTACCCGATCGTGGACGGAGGGAAAGAGGACAGGTGACGGCAACCCGACCGTCAGTGGATAGCGGCCTTCGCACACGGCGCCTCCGTGCGGCCCGCGCCGACGTCATGTTCGACGCGTCTTGTGGCACTCTGATAGTAGGCTATATAGCCAGCCGCCAACTACAGCGACTACATGCATCCGCTACTGCTTAGAGTTGAATCTATCCATTGCTCAATGGCAACCAGGATAGACGAATGTATGTAGGTACCACTACGTGGATGATGGCATTTGCTCGGCCACAAAGGGGAATAAAATCCCGACTTGATTCTAAAGTTGATAAGCCTTTATCTTTGGGAAAATCCTAACAAAAATCGTGCCATTTTGGCCCTGACTTACGGGTTTGCGACATAATTCGGTTAGCATTTTCAGGCAATAGAATGCCATCACAAACTAAGAATCAACAAGTCAGTTCATCAGGATTTCCGTGGCATCAAATCCCTTCATCGACGTGGTGTACACATAGACTGTCTAATAAATCGTGTTGTTATCTACGCTTCTTAGAAGAACGCGTCGCAGCCTTTTCCGATTGCCTCTGCAGTAGACCTCCGGCATCCAGAGCATTTCTTGCCGCTTGTGAGATGTATTTGAACCTAGATGGACCCAATTTTACTCCTCCAAAGTAGCGCGTAACGACGACAAGGACATTCTCGGCTTCCTATGACGGGTTTAGCGGAATAGCTGGTAGTAAGTGAGAGATGGGCAATACCACTAACTCGAGAAGCCTCGCCAGTCTATCACCAGCTGCTGTCTCTCCGTCGTCGTCATCACCTTGTGAAACCGTCAGTCGACACGCACAGGACTCGCGTGATTATGATTGGACCAGCGTACCCTGTTGCACAAGGCCATTCACTCTGCACCTCCAAGCATAGATAATAGGGTGAGCCGCCTTTTCGACACCCTTCTGCTGCATGATCCACGCCAGAACATCAAGTACCTTTGATTAACATGTGAACGTGTTGAGCGATGCGATCTATGGTGCGACTAACATGAGAAGGATCCTCGAGCTTGCAGGCTCTTCCAACGAAGACACTCTTCTGTACGGTCAAAGGCTCCGCCTCGTAGACCTTGATTCCATCTGGGAGGCCCTTATCGACACCACCGGCCTGGCTCAAGCGAGCACTGATCGTGCCGGCGTGGCGACGAGTGACGCTGGCCCATGATACGGCAACATGAGTGCGAGTGCGATAGCATGCGCTCGTCAGACCATGAGTGAGTAGTGAGAGCCTCCGTACTGTATCAGAACTTTGTGAGGGCAGGGCGGTCACTACATGCCGATGCAAACATCGTGGTGGTAGCATCGCGAGTTCATAACACGAGGATCTGGCGTTTGGTGTCTCGTGGGAACGATCAACAAAGCGCCGTGACCTTCGTGACGTTTAGCGCCCGAGCTCGAACGCGCACTTTCTCCTGGACCTTCACTCCCAAGGGAGGGCTTATTTCACCATGCCGAAAGCTAGCAACGACTCTAATAAGGAGCTGAACTTCACGACTTAGTCGGACCTCCAACAGAAGACGAGGTCACTACTCAACGGCGACGAGATCGAGACGGTCGTGAGTAACTATGACCAGCCCCACCCGTACCAGCTCAACGCGCACATGGATGCTGACTCTGCGGGGCCTTCAGACTATCCGGTTCGCTACTGCCGACAAGAATGACCCCAGTAAGAAAGCCGGCCTCGTTGCGGCTCTCCTGAAAAAGTACGCATAATTCGCCCAGACCTCATCTTGACACGGCTCAGAGCGCCCCGTCTGTCTCTTCTGTGCTTAGGACGCCCAATGTGAAACGTTTGGAACTGGCTTTTGTGAGTCCCTTCCCGTCATCTGCGCGTCCTATCGCGTCTCGCAGCGCGCGTCCCAAAGGCACCCCGACGCGTGACGTCACGCGTCTATATGTCGGGTTGACGCGTCTCTGAGTTGGCTCGTTGACCGGACGCACACCGACGCTGATATGGGCCCAATAGTCAGGACACCTCTACTCGTACAAAGACTGCCTGGGTCCTGAGCTGCTAGAAGTGATGTGCTCGCTCAAGAAGCTCACCGAGTTCGAGCACAAGGCCACGACGACGGCGCGCACTGATTTCGGGATAAGGACTCTGCTCCAGCTGGTCTCTTCCTGGCCGGAGTTACGCCATGTAAGCTGTTTCTTAGATGCAAAGAAACGCTGACTCATCTTCTCTACTCGTCAAACAGCTGTACATTGCCGGGGACACCAATGGGAGGGACAACGGTGACGACATCCCTTTGCCAACATGCGCGATTAAGACCGCGACATTCGAGAGGTTGATGGGGAAGCTGAGCAAACACGAACAACTCTTTGCCGGATCCGGTGAGAGCCTCGAAGAGCTTGAGTTCTGGGGCATGGGTTATGGAGACGTACGTCCCAGCATCAGCTCTCGTCGAAAGGGCCTCATTGACGCTTCTTTAGCTCGAAGAACTCCTCAAGCCTGTGCTCAACAGCATCGTAAGACTCAGGATCGGCGGCTCCAACAAGCCTTCTCTAAAATGCATTACGGATACTCTTAGTAAGGCGCCCAAGCTCGCTACTCTAGACATCGGCGGTGAGAGCGAGTACGACAACGGAACTCGCGCCGCTCTAGCGAACGCGCTTCAAGTCGAAGGTTCCTTCCCATCTCTTCGAAGTCTTCGGTACACCGCGCAACACGGCACGTACAAGACGGGCCGCGGTCGCAACGTACGCGAGCACGAGTACGAGAACTCGGGCGAGACAGAGCTGTTGCAGGCAGCGCGTGAGCGTGGTATCTGGGCCAGTGCTGGCACGGAACTGGAGTACAAGGTCGAAGGAGCCCAGAGGCGGGCAGGTATCATCGCCGCGAGGGGCCGATACGGAGGCTGGTAATAAGCTCATGAATGGCGGTATATGGTGGTTGGGACCGCGCATACTAATGTACAACTCGTATAACATGATAGGAGACAGAGCCTTATAAGACGTAGCGGAAATCCCTGTTCTCGAAGTCTGTCAAGTCCAGGAATTCCTATTGTAATCGTCAATACTTCTTGTGATCGTTCTAGTAAGATGAATGGACGGACCTTTGCGATCTTGACCTCTACTTCCTTCCCTTCGTCATCAGTTTGGAGCACGTATACGTCGTCGTACGTCGTGTCATGAGCCTCTCCCTCGCGCTCCTTGTTGCGGCGAGCCAGGAGCCAGCGAATTGCGAGCATAAGCCCTGCGCAGCATACGTAGCAGATGCCGATGACAGTCCATGGGATGTGGTTTCTAATCACGGACATCAGTACTATTGATCAGGGATCGTCGACAGAGGGGACATACCTAGGTGTGTATTTTGCTTTCCTAGATCACACAGTGAGTAATGAAGATGGAGGAGACAAGCAGTACACTTACCACATGGATGGTGCAGCGGCATTACCGAGACAGTACGCACATAGCATGATGGCGTTGGTGGTGATCTTCTTCGTATGTCCGGCGGTTGTCTGCCCGACCCACGACAAAGCAAGGACGAAACCAGTGGTGCCGACACCTGTGTTTAGGCGTCAACATGAGAAAGTTCAATCGTTCTAGCAAGCGATGTACCAGTCAGCCATTGCCCGAACAAGAGCCCGACTTTGTTGCTCCACGGGAGAAGGTTGACCAACAGAACGCCGAGGATGTTCGGGATGAAGTAGATGCACGCGACGTAGGCGCGAGAGTTGGCATAGTGAGCTGCGATGCGCGTTCCGGTAAAGATGGTGACGATCTCAATGACACCGTCAACGCAACCGAGCAGAGTCGTCTGGAGGTTGCTAAAGCCGAAGCCCGCGACGATAAGCTGCTTCTGGTTCGTGAGAGAGTTGGGTACGTTATCGAGAGCCGAGAAGAGCGCGAAAAGCCAAGTCTTGGGGTCCCTGTCAAACACAGGCGCTCAGCTCATGTCGGGTGGCAGACAACGAGACAGCGAAACTCACATCAACGCCTCGTACATCCTGGAAAGAAGACCGGATCGTGAGAACGATGTTACCACGGGTGAGGTAAGAGGGAGTACACGCACTGCTCCTTCTTGAACTGCTTGTTCTCCAAACCCGTCTGATTCTCCTTGATGCGAACAACGGCCTTGACCTTCTCATCGGCAGTGAGGAAGCGAGCGTTGGCGGGGCTGTCTGGGAACCAGAGGCTACATCCTATCAGCGCCAAAGGCGCAAGGCGCAAGAAGGTGTCGACTTACAAGAATGATATGGCGACGACAAGTGTGATCAGCCCCGTGATCAACATGAGCCTACAACAGTATCAGCGCCTAGAACCGACGGAGATAAATAGGCGCGCACCATTGCCAGGGCTGCAAGCCACTATCATCGCTGATATGCAGAACACCAAAGCTGAGGAAACCCGAGATGATCTGTGCGGTGCCGTTCATGAGGACTGCAGTACCGGTAAGTCCTGACTGATCGACGTGAGGAGGAAGGGCGGCGCTTACACCAGTACCCAACACGTGTGGTCTGTTCATTGCGAGTGTAGAACATGGAGCTGACTGTCTGGCATGAGAATCTGCAACATCACGTCGTGAAAGCGCTGGGAACACACCGATCATGAACCCGGCGGTGATGGAGCCTTCGCACATCCCCAGAACGAAGCGCGCCACGAAGAGACCAGCAAAGTTCTTGCAGGCGGCATGCGAACACAGCGCGATTGCCCATATCAGGATGTTCAGACTAGCAGTGTGGTGTCAGCGAATGACCCTCAAATTGCGAAAGTCGACGCACCTCATCCATTTGCCGACCGGGAAGCGTTGGAGGGCTAGGTTTTGCGGGTACTCGAAAGCAAGGTAGGAGCTGACGGACTTGTCGTCAATACAGGAACCACGAATGAGGGAAATGTACCACGCACACGTAGAAGATCGTGCCCAACAAGTTGTACCTAAGTACGAAGGTCAGCAAGCAAGCCTTAGCTGATTAGATGGAGGAGTCTCTGATCCAATGAACTCACTGGTTCGTCGTTAAATGCGTAGCAGTCCTATACGAGATGAGCGCCGTGTCGCTGGTTATCGAAAGTTATAGATAACGTACTTGATTCCAAGAATCGATGAACTGCCGAGCGTTGTCTTGTCCATGAATTGCACCCTGCGAAGTCATCGGCGCCTGCTAACGGCAGATCATACGAGGTACACTCACCAGTAGAGAACTAGGTTATCAAGCGGGTGAGCGGGTGAATAAGGTGCTGGAGAGGGCGCGACGCACCACACACCATGGGTAGCAAGTGCCAGTCGATCTTCTTGCTAGAGCAGACAAGCCACGTTAGAACGTATCAGGCTGCGCTATGGGACCAACAACCCACCGAATACGCAGCTTCTCAGCATCATCAAGAACGATTGAGTCGGCACCAGCGAGCAGCTGCGCTCCGGTGTCGACTTCGCGAGTGCTAACAGCGACTCCGTGGTCGTGTTTCTCGTTCCTGATGCTCTTCTCGTCCGCGGAGCTCATGGTCAAGAAGTAAGGCGCTCAGAAGGCACAACGGGAGTTCTCCACCTGGAGCATGTTATATACATGGTAGGACACTATTCACTTATCTCTGACTGCGCGTCATGGAAGCACGGGTGCCCCGAGAGCGCTGGTGATGGAAGCGAGGTGCGCGGGATGCCGGCACCATGTCAAGGAGAGTATGCCGAAAGCAGTTGATCGGATACACCACACTGCGAGTGGAAGGGCGCTAGCGCGCAGTCAGACGGCGGAATCTCCACAGATCACGCACAATCAGAGTGGAGGAAGCTTCCGCAAATCCCGCGTCTTACCCCTTATCGTGCCGCGCGATAGGAAGTACATAGCAGTGTTGCGAGGTTCTTCTGGCACGGCAAGGGTACTGAGTACCGGAGTGCAGTATTCGGACATGTAGGCGCCTGTGACCGCAATATAGATGCCAACAATCTGGATCCCACGATTAGACGGCCTTTTACAGCACAGCAGTAGTGGGAACTCACTTGCAAGACGCATCACGAAGACTACGTGTACGTTTGTACAAGGGTCGTGCCAGGGGCAGAAGTTGAATGGCATTCTGTTATCAAAGCCAAGAAAGGATATGGATCTAGATGTCCGTTGCATGCGTGCGTCCATTTGTGTACGACAAAATCTTTAGCCTCCGTGCTCATCGTATCAAGGTTCTTCAAGATCGAGATAGCGTCTCAAGGCACCGGCCATCTCGAGGAATGGTACGGCCGAAGAGCCTGCAGCTTTGCCGACAGGCCCGATGAAGTCGCGCAGGTTCTTCTTTTCTCGTGCTTTGCGGTACGTTTCCAGGTACTTCATCGCTGTCTTCTGTTGCAGACCCACACGTCCTGGTGCATTCAAGACAAGCATGTCAGGAGAATAGCCGAACCACTTCTGGGCACACACTACGACGCCTAGGAACGTCTGGCCGCGACCGTTGGCGATGAGTAGGTCGGGATGCATGAAAAAGCGGTAATGAGCGCATACAAAACGGATACGCGGGTTCTCTTTGTTCACCTGGACGGATGAATGACTGAGATCGAGACCAATCCGTGGAGAGTGGTAGATTGTTCCACAAGCGCCCGATTTGTCTATGCGTTCTAAGCTCAGCCAGCTCTTGGCGTCTGGCGAGTGGTGATCAATAGATATATTGCCTATCCAGTGTTCATCGACAAGCGTCGTGAGACTAGTCGCCGAGGACACCCGAAGTAATTCATCGACAAGCAGGGAGGGTCCCGATATGATGCGCCCATCCGAGATGCGCCGTACCGTTCGCAGCAAGATGCCGCCTCGCATCTTTTTGCCGGTGTGGCCCAGTGGACAACCTAGAGTGATATCGAGCCCTTTACGCGTGCCGCCACGATAACCAGCTGGTTTTGACCCAGCAGTTGGCTGAGGCGCTGGCGTCTTGCGAGGCGCGCGATGAAAGTACCTGTCGGGCGTTCATAAGGATGATGTGGCGCTGAAGGAAACCTATTAGGGTCGTGCACGCACCATTGTCCAAGCGCAGTCTGCTCTTCCGAGCCGTGGGTATATGGGTCGGGATGTTCTTCACTATTCAAGTAGAACTCCAGTTCCACTATCTCGTATTCCTCACGCGCACTGGCAGCAGCGTTGCACCATACTATGCGATGCTCGTGCAGAAGGGATTGAGCGATGAGCGCGAAGCGTGCATGAGCCGACTCCGGGGTGACAGGTTCCCCGGAGGAGAGGTTGAGAAGTTCGGTGATCCCGGGGGTAGTCGGAGAGTTCAACAAATCAGTATGGACATCAGGCTTGTGCCGTTTGGCGCCGTCTTGTTCGTGGGTGTCAATGCCTGCGGCATTCGCGTCGCGTTTCGAAGTCTGAGTTTGCATCGTCGTGGTAGTTTGTGACGAGGCTTTCGCGCGTGGTCAACTTGAACCTCGCATCCGTGCATGTGTCACGCGTTGCCCGAGGGCCCTCACTCGTCTCGATCCGGCTACTTAGGTGTATGGGTTTCATACAACTCATGACACTGCCATTGAGCCCCTGAGGCTTGGACACAATATTTTGGATACGTAAGTCATATAAATGTGGAGTCATAACAGCGGTCAGAAAGCAGGTGCAAAGCTACACTAGGAAGTACGAGGATAATACGCTGTAGCTCAGTGGTAGACTATGACAAAGCAATACTAAGAACAATGCATACGGACGACGATGAATCGCACGGCTTTCAGCTCTGCACAGCCATTCTAACAGGCGCCAGCTCAACCGAATGACGGACTCGGTGTCCAGTAGCGAGCCCCATAGTAGGCGCGGATGTCAAGGTCGACGCAACGGTGGTGACAGTAGCAGTGGCTGCAGACATCACCGCGTTCGCGGTCCCGAGAACGGGTACAGCCGCCGCTACCGCCTTGAGTTTTGCATGCTCATAGGAAACGAATGCTTGTAAGGCACTGGTGAAGTTTGACGATGCCTCGAATAGTGGTAAGGCATCCGTTACTATCTGTGTAGCAGCTTGTGCTGACAAGTTCCGAGAGCGCGTCACTGGATGGTTCATTAAGCACGGAGCCGAGAGTCTGTAAATTGACAATGCCAACGTACGGAATGCGCAGACGGCTAGAGCTGCGATGGATTCAGTCTGACTGTGAACAAGGATGCGGCCTGTCATGCTACTCAAGGCGTTTTGAATGTAGTCGCATGTTGCGGACAGACTGAAAACAAGTGCTGAGCGATCATTCGAAGGTATAGCGACATGGTGGAGGTCGACAGTTGGGATGTCAGAGTCAATTTCGGCCGGTGATAGTGTAAGGAGATGACTAAGCCCGGTATAGCGCGCAAGGCAGCGCAATTGGTCCGCATCATCTGGTAGTTTACTATGAGGACCACAATCCAAGAAGGTGAGTCATGGCTAGCGTCAACTTCGGCACAGAGAGGGCGTACCTATTCAAGTATAACCCTGGGACGATGAGTACTGTATCATGGCAGAGGTTGAGGAATTGAGTGACATCCTGTTTCTGCCTACGCTTCCATGAGCGGTATGCTGGGTGCGTAGATGCCGGCGCATAGTTGCACGCTGCAAAGACATGTAGTTGCTTGACGAAACCGTAATTCGGGAATATTTGCGGTCGCCCTAACAATTATCACATCAACTCGGTGCATGGACATATATAGGCACTACGTACGCTTTGCTATGACAGCAAGAGCTTCGCTTGGTGTGATTTTGCGTTGCTTCATTACTAGGCATAAAGTTCTGAAGCCTAAGAACGTGCCAATCCTGAAGCAACGCTGGGAACGTACGGTATGCGGCGATAACGGTGGCACTTCGGGAGACGCCCATGACGCAGTGCACGAGAACACAGCCTCCCGACGCGAGCGCGCGGTCAATAAAATCGCATGCAGCATTGAGGTGGTCAAGTATATCATCATATTCGGTGTCTTGTATGGGGATTATAAGGTGGTTCTCGTTCCGGCGAGGCAGGTCCGAGCACACGGAGACCAGATGTGAAAATGATGCATGCTGGTCGATAGTTTTCGCACACGATAGACTACCAACGCTCAGTATATACTCCATCTAGTATATTCCGAGGATGCGCACCTAGAAATATATAACTGCCCATCGAGAACAGCGTCGACACCAGGTACGGCCACGCTCCTAGCTTGAGTGGCATAACTGAGGCCGGACATGTGTGGAGACCGCAGCAGTGGCTCAGTGAGCTGAGAGTTGCGAAGGGGGGTCGCGAGCAGGCTGCTAGAGTGAATTCCGCTGTACCGAGGTACTGACAGGAAGTGGTGGTCGCGATGGCGGGAGGGAAGAGCGACCCGGGCGGTCACCTTTTCGGGCTGTGACGCGTGGCACCGATGTCACTGGGTAACTGGTTTGCCACCTTGTGCCTTCATACCACACGCCGGTCCGGTCCAACCGACTGGTGTTCTTCCTAGGATCTGCTCTTCTGATTCACGAAGCTCGCGTACAGGGATCATTTCTAGTACATTAGAATAGGTCGTCTACAAGTTCGTATCGCGTACGTAGTGGCAGGCATTAGTGTAGGGAAAGATGCGTCGGAGACTCGGATCGTACAGTCGTAGCGGGGATATGTCGTCAAGGGTTCCGATTGTCTGATGATAGGAGGGGGCGGTGGTCTACCTTCCCATATGGGGTGCCAGTACAGGCAGCTGAGGCTGTAAAGGAAGTTGTTGAACCGGCACCACCAGTCCATGTAGGTCATCTGCCTCAGAGGGCCCGCAAGGCGCTATCCAATCGGAGAACTGATCATAGGAAAGTGTGAAGACCATGCCTTTTGGGAAAAGGTGACTTCGGTTATGTCCACCGCTCAGGAAGGGACGGAAAAGAGAAGCCGGCAGCATGTTCAGCGGTCCAATTGCGGCCCGCTCCTGGCGTGGGCACGCGCCTACTTCCACGAGCATGGGTGTACTGGTGCCAGTGCGGAGGCTGTTCCAGTCCCTATGATGAAGTATCAGAACGACAGAAGTCCGCACAGAGAAAAGTGAACTCACATGCCAGTGAAGAGCGAATGTTTCATCAGCTCGTCGATCGTGCCTCGAGCCCTTGGGTCTGTGGATAGTAACTGGCGATGCGTTCAGCACGACGTGGGGGATGAATCAAGGACCGGTACGAACCTTGTGGAAGAAGGCGTACACGTCAGAATGGAAGAACTCTTCACACCTCCTCAAGAAAATGGGATCCAACACTCTCGCAAGTCTTTCCTCAAGACTGAGGTCTCGTGGCCCAGAAGCTTCGCCGTTCTTACTCATCGTTGCCTCAAAAAATCCCTCGTGAAACTCTCCAGGAGTATACTGAACAAGATCAGGATTCATATTTGGTGGCATGACATGAAGTACGTACCTCGTCACGAAGCGCTGCACAAAGCGCGAATTCGAGTAATGTTAGACCCAAACTCCAGAGATCTGCCCGAGGTGTAACAATCTCCCGTGGCGCAGGTCCATCAGCTTGCCACATGAGATGCTGAAGAACTTCTGGTGCCATATATCTAGGCGTGCCGGCTAAGATATCTAGCGACACGTCCTCGTAAGCGCAGCCTTGTTCTTGTCTCGCTCGCGATACATCCACGAACGAGCGATCGAAGTCAGCGAGCGCGAGATGGCCGTTAGGTGAGACGAAGATGTTTGCCGGTTTCACATCGGCATGCACTATATTCAGATCTCTCATCGTCCCCATTGCCAAGAGCTGGTACGAGGAGTCAGCAGCGATACTCGTCATCAGTATGATTGGCTCACGAGCTCGCCTGCATAGAAGCGGAATACATCGGGTGCCATCACCCGCATCCCTTGCACCGAAGACGGAGGGAAGGAGGTAATGGTGCGATCAGTCCATGATGTCATGTAGTCGGCCAGATCACCCGCATACCATCTCTGCATAGAGTATCAGCGTAATTCCGGATCCATTTGACCTTGCCATACTCACCGAGACGACGTAGATGAAGTCGGCATCTTGAAACACCGCCAACGCGCTAGCGATATAATTTTCTCCGGCAAGTTTCTTCATGGTTTCGACTTCGACAGTCAACCATAGGTACATCTCGTTGTTTGCCGCAAGCTCAGCTTTGCGTATCATCTTCACAGCGACCATCCGCGGGAAGTAGGCGAGGTCACTACTTTCGGGGCGGGCGAAAGCTCCGAGAATTTGACGCTCTGGAGAGAGCAAGCCCAAGAAGTCGAACTCGATAGCCATCGGTTTGCCGTCCGAGCCCGTACCAGGCATCCGCACGCATGTCGTCCCGAGCGGAGGAGGGTGCATGCCAGACGGTGAGCTATGTCGCCTTTCGGCGGGAAGAAGAGCATACGGCAATCCATCCTGTCTAACTGCCGGGCGCTTTGTTAGACCTGGTGGAGGACCTATGTTGGGATCGGCTGCTGGAGCACGAAGTGACGAGGATGTCCGTTGTACAGACGATCCCATGACGTGCAGTACTTGCGCTGGGGAGAATCCTGCAGCTGCCAATTGAGGTTCCCGAAGGTGAGCCGAGTTTGTCTCAACAGGCAACTGTTCGACCGGCGGCGGGAGTGGCGTAGTGACCTCAAGAGTGACTCTCTCTGTGCAGTCCGGCGAGCTCGGGGAACTTCCGGGGATGGGCGGTAAGGGCTTGCGGCGAGAGTATGCCCTGAGAGCTTTGCTATGTCCACGAAGGCCAGTGTCAGACTCATGACGAGGTGTTGGACCCTGTGTGGCCGAAGGGCTAGGGATGGCAGACGACGGACGAGTTGTAGGGTGGCGGACGGGGTGACGGTTCCGTAGTGTCGCAGGAGCCTCGGGTATCGGCATCGGAGACGAGATGTGCATGCGGGCACCGACGTTTGGCAGAAAGTCGGCCACGGAAGACTGAGGATGACCTTTTCGACCATCAGCACGAAGACGCCCGAATAGCTTCCGCTTGGGCAATGAAGTTGTGGAGTCTCCCAAGTCGTGCAGTAACAGGGATATTGGCGCTTGATCTATGGGTAGATCGCGTTTGGTGTGGCGCCATCGTCGCAGGATAGGCATACTGTATGCGGTAGGGTCAGTGGAAATGTGCACACGCTGGGATGCGAAAGCGTACTTTTATGGGCCTCCGATGCTTGTGCCATGTATACGAAGGCTGTACGACACAACAAAGCACTCAACGGCATTGGCCGCTGGGCGACCTGACAACGAACCATGGGCCCTGTCAAACAACAACACGTCAGGGCCAACCGTGCGAATCCGCGACACGCTAACAGAAGCACAACAAGGACAGCGATTTCCGGAGTTCGAAAGCACTGTAGAAATAAGAGTGCATCCACAATAAGAACAAATGGCCCATCAGATAGCCTCTCCGATCATCTGCTCGTCCGCCTCTTTCCCTTCCCATCCTTCTCAACAGGGAACAACGCGACCTTCTTCCACATCCCCACGCTGCCTTTTCTCCAGCCAGCATTGGCCCAAGCCCGTTCTTGTGCAGGCACACCAAGCGCATCAAGCAACTCGTTGGCCTTGGTTGGCATGAACGGCTGCAGGACAATCCCGGCAATGCGAAGTGTCTCGGAGGATAGTGCTATGGTGCGGGCCCGAACGGAGTCGGGGGTTGAGGCGGACCAGGGCGCTGTTGACTCAAGAAGGGCGTTCACCTGCGAGAAGTTAGCTCTTGTAGTTGACAGGAAGTAGACCCCTAGTAGAGGCTTACCTTCCCGAGCTGCGCCACAACTTTCTCCAGGGCGAGTTTGATCTCCAGCCTGGACAGATGCCCATCAACGTCGCTCGCAAGTGTACGTAGCTCTCCGTCAACGTCAGTATCATTTGACATAGACTCCAGCACCGCAGCTCTCCGTTCCAAATAGTCAGGTAAACGTGACATGACGGCGTCCGAATGTGTGCGTGAAAACAGGTTTCCGATCGAAGTCCGGAGTTCCTTCGCGTGTTTGTCGAGCTGCTCTTCCGACCAATCTACCCATGCACCGCGTCAGTTGTACGAATGAGCCGGAGCGGACGCTGAGAGGCATACCATGGTCGGCGCCATAGCTACCGCCGACGCGAGCGAGGTAGAATCGCACAACATCTACACCCCGAGCAGACATGATAGTGAACGGGTCGACTACATTTCCCACGGACTTGGACATCTTGCGTCGCGAGACCGTCCAGTGTCCATGGACTAGAAGTGACTTGGCGGTTGGAATGTTCAAGGCAAGGAGCATGGCAGGTAGATATATCGCATGGAACCTGCGTGGTCCAGTAAGCAAGTCGGCTCGTCAAAGCTTTGAATGCATCAACGTACCGCACGATGTCCTTTCCAATCACCTGTACATCGGGCGGCCACACGCCTCGCTCAGCACCTTGCCAAGGATAGCCCGTAGCAGTCAAGTAGTTTGTGAGCGCGTCAATCCAGACGTATATTGTGTGTCCCGGGTCATCCGGCACAGGAATGCCCCATTGCAACCTCTCCACTGGCCTCGATATTGATAGCTCCTCCAATCCGGCCTCCACCTCACCTAGGACTGCGTCTTGCTTCTCCGCGGGAATGATGGTGCTTCCTCCCGCTTTCGCCCGATAGAGCTCGGACAAAGCGGAGCCAAGGTGAGAGAGAGAGAACATGTAGTTTTCTTCCTCGCTGAGCTCAACGAGGGAGCCGGTCTCCAGCGATGTGAATGTGCCGTCGGGTTGCTCTTGTACTTGGTCGCGAGTGTAGAAGCACTCGTCGGTGACGGAGTAGTAGCCCGTGTAGACGGCCTTGCGAATGAGACCCTTCGCCGCTAGGGCTTGCTATCGCAGTTTCAATGATTGTCTGAAAGTCTCGGAAACGACTGAACATACCCATAGATGCTTTACGGCAGCATAGTGGTCTTCGTCCGTCGTGCGGATAAACCGCGAATAGCTGATATTAGCTGAGTCTGCCATTTCCTAGGCGTAGATGTCAGCATTGGAATCGTGGTCGAATCATTGGTGGAGTCTCACGCGGAACGTCGCGCTCAGTTGGTCGCATAGAGCACGAGGCTCTAGGCCACGCTGTCGGGCAGCATTCTGGATCTTGAGTCCATGCTCATCCGTGCCTGTGAGGAAGTACACGGGACGATCCGGCTTCGTCAAGCGAGCATGTCTGGCTATGATATCGGCCGTCACCAATGTGTACAGATGTCCGATGTGCGGTGCTGGATGTATTGAGTTACGCCGAACTACGGGACGTATAGGTTGCGATTCACACCTGCATTAGGGTAGAATATAGGTGTAGTCACGTAGAATGGCTTTTGTTCTGCTACTGCGTTACTTGAATATAAGCGATGGAGTAATTGTCGCCGGCATGTTCTGAGACCGAGGGCACGACAAGAGCCCGACAACATGAGCGTCGGAATCAAGTCGCGTCGAACGACCTTGCGACAAGTCACGCCTGCGCGTTCTGACACACGACCACGACCAGCTGTCAATGATCTGTATCTTGTAATTCTAGTACAGCCCCTCCGGGGCGCCACTGGGGCTCTCCGTCCCTGTCTGAATATACTATTCAAAGTTTGAAGCTTCACTCGTTCATGGCGGCGCGAGAGACGCC